TTTATTTTGAGCCTGTGCAGGAGGAAGGCATGGAGATTATGTGAGTGCTACATGGCCCCTGGGTTGGGGTAGCCTGTTTACAATACAAGGGAGGAAAAGAGGCTTGTTGCTCTCCCCCTTTTGCTCTTGTTGCTTTGCGATCTGTGGCTGCCATGAACGTTTGCCCTCTGCCATGTGCCACTCTGCCTCGGACCCAGCCAAGTATAGACTGAAATCTCCACAAAATGTAAGCTAAATAAACCTTTCCTTCCTTAATTTTGGGCGTTGGGTATTTTGTCTCAGCAATGAGAGAAAAATAACCAAGACATGGAGTTAGAAGGCCATGTGGGAATTTTGTGGGGAGGGATACAATCCAACCTGTAATATGCAGCACTGAGGGCCCCAGTGGTGTGGATGTACACATTACCAGGGGGCCATGGAGTCTGCAGCCTCACCAGTCTGCTCTGAGCAGTGTACCAGCTGCTGGGTGAGGAATGTCTCACCCACACAGTCGTATGACCCCCTACAGATAAGGCCACAGAGATCACAAGCTTAATCAGAGCTGATGATGGAACCCAGCCCACATCTTTTAACACCAAATTCTAGGGTTTCCAGGGGTTAATTCATACCTTGGCTTTTGTTTTCAGGTTTTGGTTTGGTTTTTGAGACAGGGTCTGGCTATGTAGCCCAGGCTGGCCTCAAACTCTCAGCAACCCTCCTACTTCAGCCTCCTGAGTGCTGGGACTACAGGCATGTGCCACCATGTCTGGCTACATACTTTTACTTTTAAAAAAATAATAAATATAAACGTTGGGGTAGTGGGATAGCTCAGTAGTGGAACACTTGCCTGGTGTGTGCAAGGTTCTGGGTTCAAAACGCACACTGCAAAGTTTTTTTTAATTTAAAAATTATTGTTATAATTTTAATTATAAGATAATAAATATATACAAATGCACAGTTCTTTGAAGAATTGCACCTTGTAGATTTAGTTAAAATCAAGACAAAAGTGTAATATCAGGGTGCACCTACTTTTACAAACTCACAGTAGTCCTCTTGACTCAGCCTTCCAAGTCCTGGGATTACAGTCATGCACTACTATACCTAGTATACTTTTTAATTCTTTTCCAAAGTGGTCATTTATGGTTTGTGTTGTCTTTTTTTGTTTATTGAGCAGGGTTTCACTATCTAGTTCACACTGGCTTTGAACTCACCATGTAGGCCAGGCAGGCCTTGAACTTGGGGTGATTCTCCTGCCTCAGCCTCTGGAGTGATGAGATAACAGCCATGTGCCGTCACACCTAGCACCAACCTAAATTTTTTTTTTTTTAGTTTAATTCCTGGGTTGATGCTTGTAAATTGCCTATGGTGAATAGCTTTATTGCTATTATCCAGAACCCTTAGGAAACCACTATACCTCAGAGATGTCTTCCAAGTGTAGCTGGTTTCTGGGTTTTGCATCTGTTGCAAGATCCCACCTCTTCATTGTGTTGGGGATGAGAAATTGCTGCCTGCTTGGCCCAGCCCTTGGTTCTTTGGCACTGGCCCACAGTACTTTCTATGACCCTTAGGCAAACTCAGTCTTAGTATACCAGGAAGAACAGCTGGTTAGAACCATTGTGTCACTTTGGCTAAAGTGGTACAACCAGCAATAATAATAGCATCAAACACAGCCTAAAAAATGACAAACTGAAGTGATCATTAATTTGCCATCTTTAACCATGTGAACTAGATTTGCGGTTATACAACAAAATCTAAAGCCAACCAGAAAATTCTATGCACTAAATAAGCTCTCAATATGCCAATTTTATCCTCAGGGTAGAAAATTTAAAAGGAGTTAGGGGAAAAAAAGGAGAAACAGAAGAGGAGGAAGAGATTAGAAGCAAGGCTGTAGGACAAATGGGAGATCATGTAAACTTTGGGGAACTGGTGCAGAGAACAGGAGGGACAGAGAGAAGGAAGGGATAAAAAAGAACAGAGCAACCACAAAAAAAATAGAAACTGCATTCAAACTCATAAAAACAAGATCAAACAAGGAAAAAGGAAAAAAAAAAAAACAAACAGGAATAGAGAGGGCAGGAAAAAAATGTCCACTTCAAGGTTTGTCTCTGCTATCACTGATAGACAATGTGTGGAGACAGAGTCCAGAACTGTGTTGCTTTATCTCAGCAAGTTAGCAGTAACTTTATGGTGGGTATAACAGTCAGGGCTTACTAGAGAAACAGATATAACACCAGATATACCAATGTATAAGAAATTACAAGTTTGGCTTATGATGGTCAGCCACAGAGTTGAATGAGGAGGTGTGCAGAGGGTGTCTGCATGCAAGGTCTGGAGCTCACTGCAGTGTTCTGTGCAAGTCAGTAACAGGAGGCTGATGGGTCTCTGACAGAAGCTGAAGAGTCTACAACGAAGGTGGAAGAGTCTACACATCTGCCCCAGAAGCCAGGAGATCACGACCAAACTAAAGGAGACAACTGGAGCTCCCCCAAAGAACCAGCCTCATTTCCCTTTTATTGTATGCAGGCTACCTGTCCTGGGTGAGCTCCTTTATATCCACACCATCTGGGAGCCTTCCTCTTCCACAGGTTTAAGATATTTACAAAGTAAGGACCCTGGCCCCCTGCTTAGTCACTTAGCCTTCCAACCTTCTCAAAGCGGGTGGTGGATAGTGGATAATCTCAGCAGCCTGAACCATTTTTTTTCCTCCTGAAGTTCAGGCTGGTTTCCAGCCATGAGGCTGAGACCAGACCTGTTCAGCCTGCAGCTGTCAGTGCACCTTCTGCAGGCCTGAACTCAGCTGGGAGCCGCTAGGTGAGGCCTGTAGCTGCTCTGAGTTCCAAGCTCAGTTGGCTCCCTTCAAGATGGCTCCAGGCCAGTCGCCCTCTCCCACAGGATGTCAGATCCTGCAGCACTCACCACCAGTCAGGGCAGTCCTTCACATCCACTGTTCCCTTCCACCGCTGCATCTCTCCATGGAGGCCTCTGGTGTTGCTAGCACTCAACATGTGTCCACAGGTTTGAACTGTACCTCCACACAGTGAGTCCTGACTCAGGGAGAAGGTGCCGCTGTCTCCTTCGTTGAAGTTCCTCTTTGCTGTCCCTATGGGCTTCATTTCTCACTTCACACCCTTCCTGGGTCCAGAGGACCCACCTCCCTCCTTCTTCCTTGAGCTGCTATATTCCAGTGTCTGGCACCATGTCTTAGGAAAAGGCTCCTCAGTGCAACAGGTTCCCGTCTTCTTTGTGATGGCAGCCACTGAGGTAGGTGCTACAAATGGTCTCTGGCCTGGCTGGGTGGAGATGAGAAGGCACAGGCTCTGGTTTTGGCTCCCAAATGGTTTTGGTCCTTACAGCAGTTGCCACACTACCACAGGGGCTGTCCTGCCCACCCACAGGCCAGGGAAACTGTGTGTGCAACAGCTCCTGGACCTGAATAGCCTCTGACCTAAATTCTTGACAAGGAATTGATCTTACCCCAACTCCCATTTGTGATTTTTATTCTTTTTGTTTTTTGAGACAGGTTCTTGCTATGTAGTACAGACTGGCCTTGAACTCATGGCAATCCTCCTGCCTCAGCCTCCCAAGTGCTGGGATTACAGGCTTGCGACACCACATTTGCTTTGTTTTTTGTTTTTTTAAGACAGGGTCTCACTAACCCCAGGCTGGCCTGAAACTCAGAGGGATGCTCTTACCTCAGCCTCCCCAGTGCTGGGTCCAATTTGTTACTGTTTTCAAAACATGACCTAGCTGGGCCAGGGATATAACTCAGCAGCACAAGTGCCTGTCTGGCAAACGCAAGGTCCTGAGTTCGATTCCCAGTACCAAAAACTAAACAAACAAACAAAAAAAACACCCATGAAAGTTATGGGCCGGGGATATAGCTTAGCAGCATAAGTGCCTGCCTGGCAAGTGCAAGGTCCTGAGTTTGATTCCAGGTACTAAAACAAAAAAAACAAAAAAACATGACCTGGTCATGATGTTACAAACTTGTAATCTCAGCACTCTGGGAGGCTGAGGTAAAAGGATTCAAGTTTGAGCACAGCTGGGGCTCAAACTAAAAATAAGAGATCAAAATAAAAAGGACTAGGGCTGGGGATTTAGCTCAGCGGCAAAAGCTCCTGCCTGGCAAGCGCAAGGTCATGAGTTCGCTTCCCGGTACCGGAGAAAAACCAAAAAAAAATTAAAAAAAATAAAAAAATAAAAAGGACTTGAGATATAACTTAGAGTGAAGGCCCTTGGCTCAATCTTCCATTCTGCAAAAATAAATAGAGAGATAATTTTTTGAGCAATGAAGTTCAAGCTGGACTTGACCTCACTATGTAGCCTAGGCTGGCTTCAAACCGGCAGTGGCCCTAATTTGGCCTCCCAGTTCCTGGGGTTAGCGGTGTAGCTGGTGTTCTCTGTTAATAAATGGAAAAAGACCACTTGAACCTGGATTGTTTCAAGTTACAGCACTAATCAGCCCAAAAAACTCATTGTTTCTTAACTGGTTCCTTTGTTTCTTCTAAGAGTTGATCTCCTGCTGCTGGTACATGTATGATTACCCCATCAAGTGGTACAAATGGATCTAATTAATCACTTTCATGGGTCATTTTACTAATAAAATTAATAAAAAGTTGATGGGTGGGACAGTCATGCACGTACCACAGGTGGTTCAAGCTGCCCAGCAGTGACACACAGGAATTAAAGCTCTGTTGCGAATGTATTTATTACTTTCCATGAGCCAGGCCTGGTGGAGCATACCTGCAATCCCAGCACTTGAGAGGCTGAGGCAGGAGAACTGCCGTGAGTTTGAGGCCAGTCTGGACTACATAGTGAGTTCAGGACTAGCCTGCACTACATAGCTAGACCCCGTCTCAAAAAAAAAAAAAAAATTACTTCCATGGCTCCAACTCCAAATAGTCACATCGGGGGTTAGGGCTTCATCCTCTGGATTTTGGGGGACACAGTTCAGTCCACAGTCTACACACAGTGAACAGAAGACTCATTAAATTACAATACAAACCTGGAACAAAACAGTATAAAGCCATTAAAAACCATGTATATCATTTATTATCACAATAAATAATTCACAGCAAATGCCTGCATGAACATAACCCGGGTACAGAGCAGCACATGGGAAGTGATTCTGTCTACGCAAACCGCAGACACCCGCATGCTGAGGACAGGCAGGTACTTGCACTGGGCAGGGCCCAGGATGATCACAGAGGACTGGGGTAGTTTCCTGTATTTTTCACAATAATCATGATTTTTACAAAACACCGGAGTTATTACTCGCATTTAAAAAACACAGAAGTGTTTTAAAATAGACGAAGACATCTGGCACACCTCAGTCTTCTCTCAGCCGCAGCACAGCTGCTGCATGGCGACAGACACATCCCTGAGGTCCCCACCCCACGCTGGTCTGCAGGGCCACTCAGCCCACAGCTCCTTCCTGTCACCACTGGCTGTCGCTGCGGCAGCTCTCTCCAACCACTCTCACAACAAGGTTCAACCCCGGGGGGAGCGGGGAGGTGCCTGCAATCACCCCAAAGGACAGCAGAGTCCCTCCAGGGGGTCACCTGTGCAGCCAGCATGTCTCTCAGGCAGCACCGGCCTCAAAACATAGACAGGCACCTTCTGGGACACCACGCCAGAGGTGCACCAGTGGCCCAGCTAGGCCTTCAGCAGGGTGACCTTATGTTCTGGGAAGGAATCTTCACAGATGTTGTAGGGCTCAGTGCCTGGTTCTTGCCTCAGGTATTTCTCTGCAAAAAAGTAGTTTCTTTTTTATCCAGTACTGGGCATAAAACCCAGCACCTCCATACTGAGCTACATTCACAAGCCTTTTTTGAGACAGGGTCTTGCTTTGTTACAAAATTGCCCAGGCTAGACTTGAACTTCCAACCCTCTTGCCTCAGCCTCCCAGAGTGCTAGGATTACAAGTGTGTGCTTCTAAGCCCAGTTTAAAATAACAAGCACTAAAAGAATAGCCATGAGGACCGGTCAGTTTGGGGAACAGGCTCAAAGAGGCAGGCACTTGGGGCCCAGCATCGAAGGTCTCGAAGGCTCCCCACACCAGCATCTGGAGCTGTACTAAGGGTTCACTTGTCTCTGGGCTCATCACTGCTTTCCAGGAGTGCTTCCCAGAGTGCACGCGAACTGGTGCAGCTTCTGTGGCCCACTCCAGCTGCTTTCAGCAGCAATACGGACACATCTCAGCTGACGGACCAAGCCCAAGAAGAAGACACAGAAGCCTTACAATTCTACGTGCCCACCATCTACAACAGGCAAGTCCAATTTAAGGTGGTACAAAGCAGAACACTGGTTCCTCCAGGGCGCAGGGGCTGAGGGCATGACAGACCTTTCTAGAGTGGTGTAAACACATTACCCTGATTGGTGGATATGCAGGTGGGACACTGACACCCTCTGCTCATCTGTGCATAAACATCACCTCCAACACGCACCCTTAAACAAGCCCCAGGTAAAGAAGGCCTCGGCTCACCTCTGGGCCTGCCCTGGGCCTGGACCCCTTCAGTTCCAGCCCTACCCCGTTATGCTCTCTTGGCATGTCCTATCACCTCCATCCCTTCCTTCCTGCTCTCCCAGTCCTGCCCTGTTCTGTTGACCTCTTGGAGGTGGACATGCTAACAAATGTCCCCTGTGCCCACCTGCCTCCTCCAGGGTGGGGAAGTACTGGAACCCCTTCAGGTCAGCAGCCAGCAAGGTGCGGAGCACAGGCACCTGTGGAACAGACACGCTTTAGTCTTGGGTAAGGTGCTTTGCTCCTGATGAATGTGGCGTAGGCAGCCTGGTGGAGGCACTGAGCATTCTGGGACACGCCACACTCTCACCACATAGGTAATAGGGAGAGGAGAGTAGGCTCCAGTGGGCTGCTGCTAGAGGGGGTTTCTATATGACTGGCCTCCAAAGACCACCAAGTTGGCCACTGCAAACCACACAGAATGCAACAGCCACAAGTGCAGCCGTGGGCCAAACAGCCTGAGACCAAAATCTCAGGGCCAAAGACAGCGTGTCCACAATGTGGCATGGCAAGGAGGGCTAGGGAGACCGAGGCCATGTTCACAACTGCTCTGGGGACAGAGGCCACAGCTCCCCATTCTGCAGGAAGGAGATGAAAGTCAGATGGCTTGAGAACCTGTCCTGTCAGAGGCAGAGCCACAGCAGTCGGAGGGTCAGGGCCACCTGTCCTCGTGATGGCATCATAGCCCAAGAATGTCACGCTGGCCCGGGCAGGGAGAGAGCTGCCAACACCCATCTTGCGAGGTGGGGCTGGCTTGCCTACCTGCAGGCCCACGAACACCAGGGAGACGTGCTGCTTGCGGAAGTCCTCGAGGAGCCCGGCCAGGCCCAGCACCACGGTGTAGTCAATGCTACAGATGTGGGAGCACTCCAGAACTGCAGAGCGTGGCGGGGATGCTAGGGACACAGGCCAGGCTGTTACGCTGCAGTGCAGTCAACACAGCGAGGGCAAGGCCAGCAGGGACTAAGTCACTGGCCAGGGGGTGAGGGTGGCAGGACCCGAAGGAATAGCCATTTGGTGAGAGCAGTGGCTGCTTCCTAAGACCAAGAGGGTGCTTGCCTGCCCTGAACATCAGTTCTGGGCACCGTGGCCCTTGCTGAAGCAGAGAGGAGCAGTCCTGGGGCAGAGCGCCCCCTGGGGACTCCCCTACCCACAGGGGATGCTGCTCAGACAGGCTCAAGACCTCATGAACCAGAGAGCACAGCAGTGGCCCACAGGCAGGTGGGGACTGGGTCTTGGGGTCCTCAAAGAGCCACCGTGGAAGGGGAAGTAGCTGCACACATGCTGACCTTGCCCATCACTGCCCAACACGTACCTTCCAGGGCCTGACTCAGTACGGTGTCCCGCAAGGCCTCAATGGCAGGAAAGTGCAGGCCGCTGGCCGGCTGTAGGACAAGGACTGACCCCTCTGACACCTAGGAGGGAGGAGGAAAGAGTGGACTTTGAGGGTGAGGGAACAGGATGGCCCCCACCAGGCTTTGCCTGTCCCAAGCAGGAAGCCGTAACCCAAGCCCAGTGCACTGGAGGGGACAGGGACGGGGGCTGGTGGGAGGCCCCCCAGGGACCAGGCACAGCAGGAAGGCACTGTGGCTTTTAATGAGAGAAGGGTCACCTCTGGCAGTGCCGGAGACCACAGTCACCCATCAATTCAAGGAAAGAGGAAAAGCCACGAGCCCTGCCCATACACACCTCCCCGGCCAGCACCTGGGTCTTGGGCCTGGCCACGGAGTGCAGGAGGATCAGCGTGGACACCAGGGTCCCTGCCAGGATGCCATACTGGACCTCCCAGAAGCACAGCAGGAAAGTCACACTGAGAGGCAGTAGGTCCAGCCCTAGGAAAGGACTTGGCTGAAGGGCGCCCCCTCCTAGCTCAGTGCCTATGCTGCCACCTGAGCCCCAATGCACCCTACCAGGCAGCATGATGGCCTCCTGATCCCTACATGGCAGGTAATGGTGATCATGGACCCCAAGCAGCCTCTGCTCTTAGGACCCAAGGACAGCAGCTGTGAGTTGCAGTCATCAAGGTCACAGAGGAGGACGACTGACTGACCCTGCCGGGCTGGGTCCCAGGTCCCCAACCTCAGGGAGAGCGGGGGAGGGAGGGCTGTCAGGGGCCCATGAAGGAGGGACAGAGCCTGGGAAGGGGTGGCAGGGATCATGGGACCCTCCAAGACCACACAGGACTCTTGGCTGAGGTAGTGGGGGGCGGTAAAATGCATGAGTTTGGCATTAGCCCCAGATACACATAATTCAGACACATCTCACCCTCCCTGAGCCTGTTTCCTTTAGGAGCATCCATTACACTCCACACAGGCAGAGTAACACGTTTCAAGGCTCCGCGAAAGGAGAGATGTATGCACACTACACAGAAGCCTTGGTGCATGATGTGATCATCGTCCCTTGATCATAACTTACTGGAGAGACGGTGAAAGGAGCCAAACTACATAAATCCTTATAGTTCTTCCATTAAGAAAACACAGGAATTTGTTTCATTAAAGAAACTGAGGGTTCAGAGTACCAGAGGGAGTGGCCAGGGAAACGGCAGGCTGAGGGGAATGAGGAGGCCAGGGCAGAGCAGCCTGCTGGCCCCCTCCAGGGACCCTGTGCAGGAGGACCCAGCCCTCTGGAGACCAGAGCCCCACCCTCCTGGTGTACCACTCAAGGCTCAGGGCCATTTCCTGGCCTTCAGGAGCGGCTCACAGAGATTACTACCATAACTCCAGCTCCAGTCCCCACTGGGCTGCAGGAAGGGGGATAAAGGATGCTCTCAACAATCACAGACATTATGCTACAGAGCTCCCTGCTGGGCACATATGTACTGGAAACGTGTGCCTCACTCTTAACGCTGGGGACATACGTACTTTTAACCCGCCACAGTGTCCCGAAGATTTTGGTGTCAAATAGTGGGGCCACGGCCATGATGATGACAGCAGCCAGCGCGGCCTTGGGAATGTAGTAGAAGAGCGAGGTCAGGTAGTTCAGGGACAGCAGCACCAGTGCACCTGCGAACCAGCAGGGCGTCACCTGGGGCCTTCAGGAGTGAGGTGGCACGGGTACCTGTGCCATCCCAAGAGGATACAGCCAGGCACCCAAGTGGACCTGGCAGCCCACTAAGAAGGTATGGCATTTTAGGAGGCTCCTCTGCCTCTAACCCTCACCATCACGGGCATAAGGGAAAGAGGGGGCTCACCGGTCACCAGGCCCCCTGCAGGGGTGCACACCCCAGACTGGGCATTCACGGCTGTCCTGGAAAGGCAAAAGAGAACTGTGAAGCCTGTGGTCCCAGCACAGCATGTATAGGCTTCTGTCTGCATGCATCGGTGGGCGATCTTCCAGGAGGCCCAGGCTGGAGAGTGGGGGCAGGTGGGCTGAGGCAGTGACTTAGGGCACACACTGTGCACAATCCACATGCTTATTTCTTAAATACATATCGTTTATTACTTCCATGTGCTGGGAACTTTCTAGAGCTAAATGCAGCACTGAGAACTCAGATGCTGTCCTGGAGGGTGGGGTGAGTCCCCGCTTCCTGCTTTGCCACAGCTGTGGTCACTGCTGACCAAAGAGCAGACTCTGGCAGAGACGAACACGAAGGGTGTGGAACATGGGCAAAGGGGCCCAGCTAAGGGACAGGGGAGCCTGGAGCTGGGCCCACCTCAAGCAGTGGAGAGGGAAGGTGTGCACACTCACCGCCCAAAGCTGCCGGTGACTGGGTAGGACGAGATGAAGGAGCCCAGCATATTGGTGAGACCTGGGGAGAAAACAAGACATTTACTGGGAGAAGAGGGAGATCATGGAAGCCAAAGAGATGCACAGGAGGGAACCCGAAAACCGAGCCAGGTCAGGAAGAGACTGAGGGAATGATGGGGCACGTGTCAGCCCCAGGCACTCTTCCAGGGAGGAAAACCTGGCCATGAGCTGTGTCACATCTGCCCAGATGGTGTCAGGCTTTATTTGTGGTGCTGAGGTTTGAATCCACGGTCTCGTACGCACCAGGTAAGTGGTCCACCACTGAACCACAGTCCCAGCCCTGATTTAGCCCTGAAAAGTCATTCTGGACCAGCCTTGCTGCACAGCTCAAATTTGCCTCTTCCTGCTTTTGTCTGTGCCGTAGGATCTGTGTTATTATTCTCCTGCGGCTGGCGGTGGAGATACAGCATACTACTTATTTTATTATGTTACGTGCCAGGATTTTTCTACATAGCTCAGGCTGACCTTGAACTTACGTAGCCCAGCCTGGCCTTGAATTTGTGATCCTCCTGCCTCAACCACCCTAGTGCTGGGATTACAGGCGTGTATCACCACGTCTTGCTAAGGATGTACTGTTTTTGAAGTCATGGGAATGGGTTCTGAGAAGGTTCACTGGTGGGTTCTTGGGGAGTCTGTGGACCTCCTCAGAGAAGGGTGCTGCAATGAGAGGCCCACATGCTTGCTGCCCATAAATTAAGCAGCTCAAGTCCAGACCTGACCCTAAAGCTTCTGGGTGCTGCCTGCTGACTGTGCCCATCCCACAGTAGGAAAGGGACAGGCATAGAAGGCCCACCACACACTGGCACCACACTGGACCCAAATTTAAGACTCAGGCCACAGTTCCCCAACACACTAGCAAAGTCAGCTCACAAAGACAAAAGAATTCACAACTGTAAACCCAACACAGAGCCCTATCAATAGGCAGGCAGCCCGGGACACCTGCGCCTTACTAGTTGCCCCACTCCTGCCGGAAGGAGGCCATGGGGCAGGACCAAGCATGCTCAGGAGCTGGCCTGGCAGCACCCTTTTGCTCCCTGACCACTGGCCATGCACACTGCTTCCCAGAGGCTGGGCACTCCTGGGTGTCCAAGAGGCTACAGACCTCAGTGTCCTACCCGGCAAGTGCTCAGTAAGTAGAACCCCGGACCACCTATGAGCTCCCTATGCCCAAGGACTAAACAGAACCTTCGGGACACTTGAGGATGAGTCCATAAGCCCCACTGGCTCATCACAACCATTGCCACACTTGGCACAACTCAGTGAGACGTGGAGGCGCCCAGCCTGGAAGGGGTCTTACCAATGGCCAGCAGCTCCTGGTTGGCATCCACATGGTAATCGTTTTGAGATGCTAAAGAGAATGGACAACACACTGTCACCGGACATACGATATTGCTAGGAAAGTGCCTATGAAATGAAAAACAGGTTCACATTTCTTGTGTATGTATGATATTGTCTACATTTCGCAAAAATTAGTGTTTAAGTATATATATCACATAATTTAAAAATCCAAAATCTGAAATGTTTCAAAACCAAAACTTTCTGGGTGCTGACACGACCTTCAAAACATTTTGCAGCTGGGCATGGTGGCCCCTGACTATAATCCCAGCCCTCTGAGAGGTTAAGGCAAATCACAAGTGCAAGCTCAGCCCGGGCAATTTGGCAGTTTAGCGAGACTCTGTCTCTAAAAGGAGTGGGGATGTAGCTCAGTGTGAGGGCCTTAGTTCCAGAAAAAAAAAGAGAAGAAAAAGAGTTTCAGATTTTTGAATTAGGATGCTCAACCAGTAAAGCCTATAAAAAAATATTCCAACATCTAAAAATCTCCCAGATCCAAAACACTTCTGGTCCCAGGCCTTTTTCCATTTTTACATGTGTATATCAGAGAGTAGAAAGACAGAAAGTAAAATGTTAACAGTCAGATGGAGCAAGAAAAGGGATGACAGGTGATTTATCTTTTATTTCTGCACTTTTGGTATTTTCTACAACTTTATATATATTTTTGTTTGTCTGGAGATAGGGTCTCACTTTGTAGTTTTGAACTCTAAGGAGCTCAGACTGGCCTTAAACCCACAGCGATCCTCTTGCCTCAGCCTCCCAAGGGCTAGGATTATATGTGTGCACTACCCATACCTTGCTATATTGTTTCTGTAAGAGGGGAAATCATTTTAAATGAACATTCCTCTGATTTCAAGGGGAAATGACTAGAAAGTCAAAGATGAGGCCACCGCAGAGAGATGAACAAGTCAAGATTTCAGAGGAAGCCACAGAACATGAGCCTAAGATAGAGGTGAGCACACATTCCACATGTGCAGCTACAGGACCTGTCACTGCCTTCCCGCTACCACTGTGGAGCAGGTAAGCAAGCAAGCAGGGCTGTGTTTGACAAATACCACTTGCAAGCACGAACATTGTAAAGTTCGCGTATGTCTCACATGTCATAATATTATTTTTTCCTAACCTTTGAAAAGATGTAAAACTCATTTTTAAAACAGTCGTGTGAAATAAAAGAGACAACAGGCCAAGGTTTATCAAACCTAGATTAAAGAGCGTGCCAGGGAGGCTATCAAGTGTCTTCGAAAGGAAGCAGCTCTAGGAGGCTGAGGCAGGAGGACTGCAAATTCAAGCTAAGCCACGGCAACTTAGCAGTATCTTGTCTCATACTAAAAAATTAAAAAATGAGCTGGGCATGTAGTTTAGTGCAAAAGCCCCAGGTTCAATCAGTACTTAAAAAAAAAAAAAGGCTATGTAATAGATAAGAGTACAGGCCATAAGATGAAGATTTGGAGAATATACTGTGTTTCTTTTTCCAACAACAAAAAGATGATCAGAGAAATAAAACTGAATAAGAAATATACGAGCTGCATATAGAACTAATGGCAACATGTATGGTTGTGAGCAATCATTGAATCTGGAAAACCCTCGTGGGTGGACCTTTGGATGGGTCGAGGGACAAAGCACCGGGCTGTTGGAGGGGAATTTACCCTGGCATACCCATGGCTTGGCAGAAAACACAAGACAGGAAGTCAAGACAATATATACTGCTAAATGTTCTTACGGATTTTTTTTTGGTGCTGGGAATGGAACCTAGAGATTGTGCATGCTAGGTAAGTGCTCTACTGCTGAGCTATTGGTAACTGGGCCTTCACCTTCAGAACCAACCTATACCTGAAGGCAAGGAGGACTCAGGCATTACAGACTGGAATGAAAGTGTCATCCAAGTTGATAATCCAGAGCTGCAAGTATAGCTGACCTCAGTGGGAAAGGGGGACAAGTGACGGATTCAATAGCCTAACCTTACAAAGGAGGGTGCCATAAGATGCTGAACCAGAAATAAGCACCTAAGCAGGTAAACATTTCCCTGCCTCCAACGGGACAAGAGAGGAGCCTCTGGGGTGCTGAGCCAGCAGGAGAACAGATGCTGTTAAGTTTTTAGGAATTTTGTGAACCAGCTATTAAGCATAGCTTAATTAAACTGAATTTAAATCAATTGAATTACAACGTCCAGTCAAACAAATTACAGTACAAATAAAGATACAACTTACCGCTTCTTAATTTGACATCTTGCTATTACCAATGAGGTTACCTACGTCTACCACAAGCAACTGTAGGCATGCGTGGTGGAGAAAGCCAGACAGATATCTAACACACAGCTGATTCCAACTTTGCATTCAAGCTCTGCATTCAGGGATGCCTTCATCAGCTTTAGAATCAGCTACAGTGGGAGCATTCACAGCCCAGAAAATGGCAATAGTAGGGCCTTCACCCTACTACCCCTTTGGTACTGAACACTGAGCCTAGGGAGCACTGAGGTATATCCCTAGCCTTTTTGTAAATTTTGACAGGGTCTCACTAGGTTGCCCAGGCTGGCCACCTACTTTTGATCCTCCTGCCTCAGCTTCCCAAGGAGCTGGAATTACAGGTGTGTACACCACTGTACCCGGTGCCCAGCCAAAGCAGGGGCTCTGTGTCCACGCAGAGAAGGCTGCTGGAACATTGGCCAGCACACTGGGACAGGGCTTCATTGTTATAGATCCAATTTTACTGGGCACGGTGTGCATCCCTTACCCAAAACAACTGGAACCAGAAGTGTTTCTGGTTTTAGAGTCTTCAGACTTTGGAATATTTGCATAGACTTTATTGGTTAAGAATGCTTCAGCCTTTACCAGTTGAGTAAAACTCGAGGCACTGGCAGTGAAGGTTTCAGAGTTTAGGTTTTCAGGTTAGGGATGTCCAACCCACCCTAGTCTCACATACTCCATTTTAAAATATGAGCACATTAACACTTAGAAAAAAATTCTAATTTTACAAATGAGAGCAGACAAATGCAAGCAAGAAAGCAGCAAGCCAAGCCGGGCTGTGAGCCCAGGCATATATCGCTGAGGAGCAAAAAGGTACCCGCAGAGGGCATCTTACCAAAGGCCTTGGCCACCGCGATGCTCTCCAGCAGCCCCATCAGGGGTACCACAGCCAGCCCCGCCCCCATGTCCTGGGAGAGGAGACAGGGGAGACAGTGAGGGCCTTGCTGCGCTCAGGAAGGGAGAGGCGGGTTGGGCCCAGCAGTGCCCTTCCCAGGCAGGACCGGCTCCTCCCCGAGTGTGCATGCAAAGGAGCCAGTGCGCCGCAGCTGCAGGGGCGCGAGCATATGAGGTGAGGAGACACCTCCTTGTCAAGAAAGGAGCAGGACATCAAGGAGAACCCGCAAACGCATCCTGTGCTGGTGTGTGAAGGAAGACTACGAGGGTCTCTGAGGCAGAAACACAAAGGGATGCCCTGGAAACTGTGCCCAACCTGGGGTTCTTCCCCAACTGCTGCTCACAGAGACTGCCCACCCTCATCAGGTTGGAACCTCCTGTCACCAAACAGATGCATGGGGACTCAGAGCCAGACCCAGGGCCACCACGGTCTCAGTCACACTGCGGCACCCATCTCCACTCACCTGCACCATCCTGGTGAAGGAGACAGTCCCGTTGGCCGTGGTCACCGAGAAGGGAGGGGCTCGCACAGGAGGAAGCCCCTTGGCTATCTCCCCAGTTAGAATAAAAGGCTGGTATCCAGTCACCACAAAGGAGTATGCAACCAGGGCTGCGAAGGAGACCACCAGGGCGTTGCGAGCTGGGAAGAGAGGGAACACAGGTGAGACTCGGGCTTGGTACATACAGGAAGAATGAGGGCGGGGACTGGCATTCCTACCCCCTCCAGACTGCTGGGACTACAATGTGTGCCACCACACTCAGCTGGTCTTTGGCATCTAAGAAACCTTCCTCAACTAGGTGTGGTGGTGCCACCTGTAATCCCAGCCATCTGGGAAGCTGATGCAGGAGCATTTCAAGTTCAAGGCCAGCCTGAGCAGCCTAGTGAAACTGTCTTAAAATAAAATCAAACAATTTTTTAGTAAGGAGTTAGGGATGCAGCCTACTAGTACAGCATTTGCCCAACATGCATGAGGCCCTGGGTTTGGGCTCCAACACTAGCAAGCAACCATACAAAACTATTCTCAGTGGGGGAAGACTGCCCCTCCCAGGACTAGACAGACAATTCTTAGAGATAACAAAGGGCCCCCTGTGTGCTCCTGATGAGCGTGCTCATCCAGAGCTGCCCTTCCCCCACTCAGCCCAGGCACCGTGAAGACAGTACCCTCTGCCTGGGTCACCCTGGATCTGGGTGCCACCCCTACAGCCTGAAGCCCACTAATATCCAAGTGGCCACTCGTACTGTTGGGAATGCCCAGCCTGGCCTTCCTCACAAGAACCACAACAAAAGCTGCAGCCTAACCCTCCCTCACTGAGCTCTTCCTCTTGACCACACACTGGGGTCTTTGTTGAGCAGGCTTGTGATTCTAGGCTCTGGCCTGGGTTTTTTGTTTTTTTGTTTTGGTACCAGGAATCAAACTGAGGACCTTGCGCTTGCGAGGCAGGCACTATGCCACTGAGCTATCTCCCTGGCCCCCTTTAAGCTCTGTAAAAAGAATAAACTTGGTTTCTCCTAAGCCTCTCAGATCCCCTCCTGACCGATCCTGCCATAAAATACAGACTGTCCCCTGAGAGGCTCATGGGGTCTCAGGGCAGCTCATAGCTACACCTAAGCTGAACCCCAACTTCAGTGTGCCTGGGGATCCCCTGGAAGTGGGCTGGGGCCTGACAGTCCCTTTCCAGCGTACTCCTGGCTTCACAGAACAGGGTGATTTTCACTGATTCATGGATGCTGAATTAAAGCCCAGACTTCGGGGAGCAGCTCCGCAGGATTGAACCCAGGCTGGAAGTGGTATTTCCATCCTGTACCAGTGTTCTTCCCGCTACTGAGCTCCTGGCATTTACTCACCACCTTGAGATTGCAGGACAGAACCTGGTGGGTGGCCACAGTGAGTCGGGAACCAGCCTGGTCAGATGAAAGTGACTCAAGGGACCCAACCACTCCCCTCTCTCATTGCTGTTCATTTCCTACCTGCCCCCCACCAACAGCAGGGCCACACTCAGGTCATTTTCATTCCACGTAAGGTTAGAGATGCTGCTGCTGTCCTACTCTCCTGTGTGTGCCTTCCTCTGTGGGTGTCACCAAGTAGCACCCCACCTCCCCAGAAATGGCCCTCAGCAGGCTACAGCCAGGCCACCCCGCTATCCTCTGCCTCAGCCTTTCCCATGGACCCTGTCATTAACTCAGCCTGCACACTCATGCCCAGAGCTAAACTTTCTCTCCCAGCAAGAGCACAGTTAGAACACAGCGTCTGGGTCTAATGGAATTTGCTTTCTCTTGCAGTGACCCTGTAGGTGGGGGAGTTTTTCAAGCCTGGGCACTGCCAATGTTTTGGGCCTGCTGACTCCACTTGGGAGGCTGGGGGCTGCTGGCACCCACTAGATGCCAGCAACAGCTTCCCCAGATGGTATCACCCAAAGACGTTTCCCAACTTTGTCCAGTGTCCCTTGGGAGTGAAGTCACCTCTGCCTGAGAACCACTGCTGCAGATGAGTATTCCCAACGCTGGGGGCAGATCAGAACCATCCACGAGCCAGGCATGGTGGTGCACACTTTGTAATCCCAGCACTCTGGGAGGCTGAGGCAGGAGCATCTCAAGTTTGAGCCCAGCCTGGCCAACTTAATGACTTAGTGACAGCCTGTCTCAAAATAAAAAATAAAAAACAGCTGGAGCTGTAACCTGGTACAAACAAAACAAGACAAAACTACCTGTAACTTTCTAGTATCCCAATGCCCAAAGAATCACTCCCAGGCCAAAATAATCTCTAAGGGCTGAGACTCGGGGCTCCCCAAGTGACTTTTTGTGCCACCCAGGTTCATCAGCCAGGAGGCCCCTCACCTGTGGCAGCAGTCCACACCAGCCCACAGCTGAGCCGCACGCCAAGGGGCATCTCAGTGTTGACAGGAGGCATGTGGTCCCGCATCAGCTTCAGCATGAGCAGCAGCACCATGCAGACCAGCCCCAGGACAGCGTCACCCACCCTGCAGGCAGAGGATGCGTCACCACCCAGCTAGGCGGCCAAGTGTACCTTCTGCTAGAAAGCTCTCTCACTGCCCTTTCTGTCTTCTCCTAAATAATCCACAGCCCTAGCTGATTTCAAAACTGTGTTGTCATCTGAGTAAGGGATCAGCCCTGAACAGGACTGGGAGTCAGGAGGTCCTCATCATGATGGCAGTGAGACTGCTACCCCATGTTTTCAGGCACGTCGTCCTCTGGGCCACAGATGTCTCATGTATTACAAGGGGCTCCAGACTACACAATCAGTGGGTGAGGCCCTTTGCACCTCAGTCTGGCCCTCTCACATTGACCAGTCTCCATTTCCATGCCCCCAGGAGGCTGACCCCTACTCAAGAGGCAGGGAGCCCACTGGCCTCCTGATGCAGGCCCTTCAACAAGGGCCTGCAGCAGCAGATCAGAGGGGGGAAGGTCCAGAACCTGGCCCACTCCCTAGGCCACCACCCATTTCCCTGAAATCCCTCTTCTGGTCCCAGCACGAGAGTAGGGCATATCTTGGCTTTCCACCAGCTGGTCTAGAAGGGAGGGACCTCTCATCAGAGAGGCTTACACCATCAGAGGAAGTGCTCTCTGCAGGGCCTCCACCTGCAGATTGCAGCCCTTGGGCACCCAAGTTCTATGCATCAGCTCTGTGGGCCTGCAACATGGCATTGCTACGTGAGGACTACAGGAGAGGAGACTGCCTGCCTGGGCCCCTTGCTGGCCCAATAGCCTGGTAGAGGATCCCTGGACCCCCCCAGGGCTCCTGCTACAATGCCACCCTGACTCAGCAGGTTGGGGCTGACCTGGCATCTGCCTGTCTAACCCACTGCCATGCTGTGCCACTGCTGCTCTGGGGACCTGTGTAAGCAACAAGGCCCAAGAGATGGAACAATGCCACCTAGAGTGGATACAGAGGTAGGGAGTGGGAAGGGGCCCTGCAAGCAAGAGCATCCTTATCTGGGAGAAGAAAGAAGCCAGCAGGGTACCTGGTCTCCCTGATGTTGAGGAAGGTATGATACACTTGCAGGAAGAACTGTCTGGGGATGTTCTGCAGACCCAGCAGGTTCTGTTCAAACAGAATATGTTAGAACCTGCCCATGGCTAGTGGTGGTGGCTGGGTCCCTCCCTCCACTCTGCGCCCACTTCATCCCTCCCCTTTGCCTGAGACTCCCATGGCTATCTCTGGGCTCCCAGGGGACAACCTGTGACCCCAAGGCAGGAGATAAAGTTATCTTGGGAAAGCCAGACCCTGGTGTTTGGGTCAGTGGCACATTTCAAATGAAAAACTAGTTTGGGCCACTCCAAGGCAGGAGACCTGGATCTACAGCTGAGCAGCTGAGCAGTCTGGGCACCTCGGCCACACCTTCCCACACCTCCCCTCGGGCCACTACTGGCCAGAGGGTGTTGTCACCCCCGATCCTGGCACCTGCTGGAAGGAAAAATCATGCCTAGGCCAAGACAGGCAGAACCAGCTGCCCCTCAGGGCTCCCTGGAGGGGTATGGGGTCCCAACCAAGAAAGGGCTTCCCACACTGACCATAGCCCTTGGGGTCTTCAGGAGGGAAAAGGGTCTTCACTCTCTGCTTTAGCTCTTTATCCTGCTTGAGACTCAGCAGGGTATATGGGAGGTGGACTAACCAGGACACCCTAGGACCCTCACCCCACAAGCGCTCCAAGCACTGAGGTGGGGGACATGGGACAGGTGGGCACTGATGGATTCTTGGCTGGGGAGCTTGTGTCCTGGGCATGTCAGAGGGCAACACATTATGACAGAATCAAAGTTTTAAAAACGGGGGGTAGGGTTAATGTGACCAAGTAGGAATGAAAAAGTACCCTCTACTCACATTAAAGTCATACAAAAAAGCTGGGTGTGGGGGCACCCACCTATAATCCCAGCACTCTGGGAGGCTAAGGCAGGAGAATTCAAAGTTAGAACTGAACTCATAGAATGTAGTGAATTAGTAAGACCTTGTGTCTAAATTTTTAAAAAAGGTCTGGAGATGTAACTCAGTTCAAAGGACCCCAGCACCACAGAAAGAAAAACAAATTTTGTTTTCAACTCCCTACACCGAAGAAAGAACAGACAAAACAAAACAAGCATTGCTGACACTAAAAATGTCATTTCCTGAATACAAGCAAGTCACATTTGCCACGCATACCCTGACGTATGTACATAACATACAAATCACACCCTCCCACACCTTACTATGTGTTTTCTCCTCTCTAAAATGGACACCATGATAAACCTACCTCCCAGGGGTGTGGTGAGAGCTAAGGACTCAGAAAGCCTGGCCCAGTCCCTAGCACACAGGGTGCAGAACAGTCTCCCATCCTTGATTTTCTTGCTCTGCCTACACAGGAACAGACACACACGGGCCAGCTCTAGCAGCCCCTGGCCTTGAGATACAGGCCGTGTGGAGCTGGGGTGTGGTAACACAGCCACGAGGCAGGGGTGCGGCCTTGAGTCTGCCATCAGGGACCCCATCTACAGAACTGAGTTCAGTTCCATTCCGTACAGGCCAGCTAGCCACTCACCTACTTCACACCGCACACAGCAGTGAGTTAGGGTTAGGGTCAATCCTGCCTCAATCAATGTAAAAAAGGCCCCAGGATATGAGCATAAGTAAGCTACATCCTGGGATAACTGGTGATTATGGGTTCTACTGCTTCTCATAGCTATTTTACATTTGATCTTAGCCAAAAAGCCGAGAGGCAATTCTTACAGCTATTTTAAACAGAAATAAAAATCCCGTCATTTAAATAACATTAAATAGAAATAAGAAGAAACCACAAAAAGCCACCTATGTAAATTAGCACGGAGAAGAGATCTGCTGGTGGAAGCCTTGGTGCCTATGACCTGCAAGTTTTGCTGGTAAATGTGTGATAAACTGCGCTGTGAAGCCAACCAAGCACCCTGGCACAAAAACTCAGGCAACAGCCAAGGGGTGTAATTATGGGCTCCCAAATTATCTGCTGTGAAATCTGACCATCATGTAACATCTCCCGCGGGATTCCCCTCCATGAGAGCACTCAGCGCTTTTAATCGAGAGAAGAGAAAAATTCCAAGTAGCAACATGTTTCCTGGCCGCAAACTGCAGGACTGGCATTGGTCCTGCTCCCAGGAACCCCTGAGCCGTCGTGGGCACTGTGCCTACCTTGATCTGTCCAAAGCCGATGGTAACGGCAGCAGCGGAGGTGAACCCCTTAATGACAGGGCAGGAGATGAAGTCCAGCAGGAACCCTGGCAACCAAAAGGGCATGAACCCAGTTCCCTCAGTTTCCAGTGGATGGGGTGGGTGTAGGCTGGGAAAGATGGCGTGGATAGGACTGCACAACAGCTTAGGACTGATGGGTGACAAACCCTATCTGGACTGTTCTTAGGGTCTGTGGCCCTGGCAGTCCTCCCGGTATGCTGGCTCTGCAGAGTACAGTGGGCCTGGGACTGAAGGCACCCCTGACACACACACAGACACCCTTGGAACGGAGAGGAGGAAATGCTGAGGTCAAGGGCATCCCAGGGTATCTCAGCACCCCAGGAAAAGCAGAACTGAAGCCTCTCCACCCACTGCAGGACGGCAGGATCTTACCCAAACGCAGGAACCCCATGGCTAGCTGGATGCAGCCTGACAGGAAGGCCAGCAGCACAGCGTAGGCAGGCTCGTGGAAAGTGTAGAAGGACACCAGGAGGGACATGATGGCCGTGGGGCCCAGAGTCACGTCCCGGGAGGTGCCCAGGAAGAAATACACAAAGCATCCCATGAAGGCAGAGTAGAGGCCATACTGTCAGGGAGAGACAGCAGTAAGCACCAGGAGGCCCCAGGCCAGTCCACCCACCTCCCCGGTGTCAATGGGATGTGTGGACAAGGGACCCATGGGTGTCAACTGTGTACTTGCGCACCTTGGCACACGCAGGCAGGGCCAGCCCCCCACCCTCCACTAGCCACCATGGTGAACCTACAGCGAAGAGGGACTATTTTTCTAGCAGCACCAGGTGGCGCCTCAGGGTGCTGAGACAGGTGAAGTGGGCGTGGGCGAGACTCAAAGGCCAGTGAACTTATGTCTGTGAATCCCAGGAAGTGTTCCTAAGGTCACCATGAGTCATTCCTCTAAACCACACAGAATCAGCTCAGTGCCTTAAGGCAGTCACATGCTGCAGATTAAAGATCAAGAGTTCCTTGGGCCCCTGGGGTAGGATGTGTAAAGGTGTCTGGACCCCATACTAAGTACAAGCCTTCCTGTTCTGCCTCTGGGTGGGGTCAGGCCATGGGGACAGGGGCATGCCTGGTAGTGGGATCAGACAGCTCACCTGGGGAAGCAGTCCAGCCACTTCTGCATAGGCCAACGCCTGGGGAATGACTGTGAGGCCAACTGAGAGTCCAGCAATGAAGTCCATCTTCATCCACTGCAGTGAGTACTGAGGCAGCCACGCCAGGATGGGCAGCCGCCTCTGCCAGGCTGAGAGGGAGCAGCAGCAGGTGCTGAGGGTCATGCTGGAGCCAGAGGACCTGGCCTGACCCAGGGCCTTCAGGGAAGACAGCATCACTAGGGTGGGTCTGTGGCATGGGAAAGAGCAGCAGTGAGGGGCTGAGCTTCAGAGGCCCAGCAATGCCAGGTGACTTGCATGGGCATCAAGAGCAGACGCTGCGGGGAGTCTTGAGTCAGAGGGGCTAAGTTCCCCAGATGGCCTGAGAGAAGCCCAAGACCTGTGCAAAGGGAGCAAGGAGCCACCCTGTCCTCCTCATTCACTATCCTGGATCCCACCTGCTCAAATCATGGTGCCCCTCCCTCCAACAACTCTCACAGGCAAAAACCAGACAAACTACTTCATTAGAAACCTAAAGAATTTCGCCTCCCAGCAGAATCTTTTTTTCCTCTCCAAGAAACCTAACGGAACAAGCGTTGGGAGAAGCAGGGGCCCCGGGCACCGCCTCTCCCCTGCCAGCCTAGATGGTGGGATGCACGGGTGGGCAGCCCGGGGGCCAGGGGCTCCAAGATCCGTCTCCAAGTGCGAACTATCGCCAGCGCCACCCACGATTTCTGACGCCACACCTTACACAGCCCCCTACCTATGGCATTCACAGCCCTAAAGGAGTGCCGGGGATTATAGTTAAGTGCTAGAGAAAATCAGGGGTTCCCGCATTAATTCTGGGTGAGCAACATCCTCTGAGTCCTGGCTCTCCATCCTGGGAGCAGAGTCGGCCGCAGACCCCCATCCCGCCCCGCTGCACCCTTCGGACAAAATCCATCCTCCCCACCCCCACGATGTCTCCAGACCTCTAGCCTGGGATCCAGGATGAGGACCCACGCCGGCTGACGGTGCGCGGAGCGAGGTCGAGGGCCGCGGGGACCCAGGACCGGACGCGGTGCGGAGAGGCCCGCTGGAGAGCCGCCCGTCGGATCCCGCCCCGGGTCCCACTGGCCGCCCCTGGCCGGGCCCGGCTCCCCACTTTTGCTGGCGCAGACTCACCCTGGGCGTCACAGCTCGGGGTGTCTCGGAGTCGCCGCAGGCGGGTCGGCAGGAACTTGCGGTAGGGGTGGGCGGGGCGGTCGGGCCACGTGATGGGGCGGACGGGGCGGGCGGGGCGTAACTCGGCTGCTGGCTGTGCGGTGGCCGCCATGCGCCGCCCCGGGCCCGTCTGCTGCGCGCTTCTGCTGCTCTTGGGGCTCTGCAGGGCGCGACCTCGGAACGTGCTGCTGATCCTGGGTAAGTGCCGCCGCCCTCCCAGGGCCACTGGTTGTTGCTACGAAAGCAGGCCATGCGCCCCTCCTCCCCCAGTTGTCAGGGCTGACCCCAGCTTGCCAGGCACTTGCGGCCCCACTGCCACTCCCACCCCACGCAGTTGCCCCAAGACTGTTCGTGTCGGCTTCTTAGAGCGTGCGGCGGGTCCCGGAGGGATCAGCCCGGCACTCAGAGCTCCCACTTTGGTCCACCCCAGATCTGACCCGACAACCCTCCCCATCCCCAGAGCAGCCAGGGCCCCCTTGTGGCCCCAGGTTGGCGTCCTGAGGGGCTTTGCAGAGCTCAAGTCCCCACAGGGGACTGGAACACGCGGCTGGGATTCTTTGGGGTCTCCCTCTGTAGCTTGACCTTCCCTTTTCAGACCCCAGAGGGCAGTGGCCCAAGTGCATTGGCCCCTACTACCCGCTCACTCCCCCAGCCCCTGCTCCCCTCAGAAACCCCAGCTTCCTGCAACACCCTGCTGTTCACAAGACTTCCTGTTTGGGTGACCAGGGCCCATGACAACCCAAACCCTGCTGGGGTCTGGCTCCCTGCCAGGCCCACTCTGATTAACTTTGCGGTCTCTGGGCAGCCTTCAGTTGATTGTAACACAAACAGCTCTCTTCCCCAGCCCCTCCCGGCCTCTTCCAGGCACTAGGGAAGAATCTGCCTCAGGACCCCCATCCTGCTGGGACTGTTATTAGGACTGAGCCTTCCAGAGCCCAGAAGGTGCTGTCCTCAGCTTAGGTGCTGTCTTATTTGGGAACAGAGTACCACAGACCAGCTGTCCTACACACAGAAATTCTTTCCTCACACTTCTAGAAGCTGAAAGTTCAAGGTCAGGTGCCAGCATGGTGAGGGCCCTCCTCCTGGCTTGCAGAGGGCCAACTCCTCTGCACCAGCAGGGGAAGGCCACAGTCCTACTAGATTGGACCCCACCCTCATGACAGATTTCATTTAATTTTCATTAAAGTCCCTATCAACAAACCAGGTGTTCTGGTGCACACCCATAATCCCAGCCACTTGGGAGGCTGAGGCTGGAGAGTTGCAAGTCTGAGGGCAACCTGGACTACGTAACAAGACCCTATCTCAAAATATAATTAAAAAGGACTGAGGATGTAGCTCAGTGGCAGAGTGCTTGGGTAGGATGTTCCAGACCTTGGATTGGGTTCAGTCTCCTGTGATGAAAATAACCACCCCCCAAAACACACACAGACCCACCTCTCATCAGTGGATACAGACATACTGGAGTTGAGTCTTCTGCCTAGGAATTTGGGGTGAACAGATTTCAGTACATAGCAGGAGCATCGTCAAGTAGTGAGACTCCTGACTGGGTTTGGACGAGGCAGCCTTCCTCTGGGGATGCAGCAGGCCCCCACCAAAGGGCATGGCCTCAGCATCCCTCTCCCAGCCTGCTTGGCTGTCATTGGCTCAGGGCCAATGGGCCCGGAGGGTGGAGGAGGTGCGCTACTCATGGAAGGCATTGCCTCTGAGGCGGGTGAGGAGGTGTTGGTTGGCCCTTAGGGTTCTCACCAGCTTCTACTGGGGCGCCCCTGATGCCCTCAACTCCAGAGCAGGGGAAGAAACCAGGAGACCTGTCCCTACACCCTGCTCCCCAGCTATGTGGCCTCAGGCACTGCACCTCATCCCTCTGGGCTTCGTTGCTTTCTGTCAGGTGAAACCTTGAACTAGACAGTCTTGAAGTTCTCCAGGCCTTGGGCAAGGGGAGTGTGTGTTAGTGAGAGGCAATGGTGGGACACATACTTGTAGATCCCCTGACTGCTCTGGGTACAGCTCTCCTGGTCACTGCCTGGGCAGTTCCTACAGGGCCCAGGATCGCCTAGCTGCTGACATGCCCACCCAGGTGGGGCATCATGCATGCTGGGTGCATGCCTGCAGGGCTCTCAGGCTTGTTGGGGTGTCACGCACCCCAGGTAGCATTCCTGCTGGAGCATCATACCCCCCAGCACACCATGCCTGCCTGTTAATCATGGTATCCTCCCTGCCTGGTCACACATCCACTCACTTGGGTATGGTGGCTGCTGACTATGCTGTATGCTGGGTGTCACACTAGCCTGCTCCCGTGCTTTACTGTCACAGCACTGGGAGTCATGCCCACTCAGGGCTCATGGCTGCCGTGTCCCTTGGTCTCCTGAGTATCACTGGCCCAAGCTTTGCAGCAGGACCCAGGTCTCTCCAGCAGGCTGTCCCTCCTGACCTCCAGCCTACCGAATCTTGTCTCCTGCCTTCCACAGCAGACGATGGAGGCTTTGAGAGTGGCGTGTACAACAATAGTGCCATTGCCACCCCCCATCTGGATGCCCTGGCACGGCGCAGCCTCATCTTCCGCAATGCCTTCACCTCCGTCAGCAGCTGCTCCCCCAGCCGTGCCAGCCTCCTCACTGGCCTGCCCCAGGTGAGAGGGTCCAGGGCAGGAGGAGTGCACAGGAGAGGGCCCGGGCTCTGCTGCAGGGTATTCTGCCTCCCCAGAGTGCTGCTCCACCCACCTCCATCCCCAGGGGCAGCCCCAGGCATGATCTCCAGTGCAGATCAGGGCCCACCTCTTCCCCATCAGCAAAGCTGGCTCCACTGCTTCTCCAGCTTCCTCTTTCTGTGCCTCAGTTTCCTCATCTGTAAAATGGAGCAGACAGTCAGATGTCACCTGTAGGGTCATCATGGGGTTGGCTGAGCATGGCTTTGTTCATAAAGCACACAGCACAGAGCCAGGGATGTAGCTTAGTGGTGCAGCACCTACCTAGCAAGCACCAGGTCCTGAGTTCAATTCCCAGTACTGAAAAAAAAAAAAAGAGTACACAGCACAGTGGGCTGTGCATGCTCCCAGGGCAATGAGAGCTGCTTTGTTAAAGTGCTTTTTTCATTACGGTGAAATACTACAGAATTGGCCATCTTAGTCATTTTAACAGATGCAGTCAGTGGTATGAAGCTTATGTTGGTGTGCATCCACCTCCAGAACCTTTTCATCTTCCCAGACTGAAACTCAGTCCTCTTTAAGCACTAATGATACAGCATTTTACCCTTTGTGGTTGGCTGTTTCACTGAGCATTGTGACCTCAAGGTTCATCCACATTGTGCTGCGACTTGGCGCAAGTTGGAATTCCCTTTTTCACGTTCCATTGCAGGAACAATCCACACTTAGGTTCTCCATCCATTTGTGGTGCACACTTGCGCTACTGCTGCCTTTGGCCATTGTGAATAGCACTGCTGGGAATGTTGGTACGCAGTCTTTCCCCTTTCTGTAAGCAAATGTGCTCTCTCCAACAGACTCCATGAAGGCTGGGTGCTGAGCAGCTGCTTCCAGGCAGTGGGCTGCAGCATTGGGAAGTGGTTCTTCTGTCTGAGTTTTAACATGCATGATGATTTCCTTTATCATATACACTAACTAGGGCATGAAAAGGAAACAGTGAAACTATGCTGTCCTTCTCACTATTCAATGGGTGATCATGGTGGAAAAGTCAGGAGGCACAGATGCACCTAGAGAAAATAAAAGACACACATCCGGCTGGGGTACACACGCAGGCTCTATCATCCATGCTTCTGTCCTGCTGTGCCAGGAGGGACCCCTGGGAGGGCGGGAAGTCCAGCCAGCCTCATGCAGCCCTCACCCACAGCACCAGAATGGCATGTATGGGCTCCACCAGGACGTGCACCATTTCAACTCCTTTGACAAGGTGCGGAGCCTGCCGCTGCTGCTCAGCCAGGCCGGCGTGCGCACAGGTAAGGAGGGGACCCTGCAGACCCCCGAGGTCCCTGGCTTTGAGTCACCCTTAACCCCTTTACGCTTATCTCCAGGACCTGGGCTGGTTGCCCCTGGTTTGGCTGAGGCTTCATGAGAGGCTACCCCCCAGCACAGTTAGGACTTAGGGGAGAAGGGGCAAGGCAAATCTGCAGGGCCTCTCCCGCCACCCCCAGGCATCATCGGGAAGAAGCACGTGGGGCCAGAGGCTGTGTACCCATTCGACTTTGCCTACACGGAGGAGAACGGCTCTGTGCTCCAGGTGGGGAGGAACATCACGAGAATTAAGCTGCTTGTCCGGAAATTCCTACAGACTCAGGACAACAGGTACAGAATGCCCCTGCCTGGTACCCTCCCAATGGCCACGCACATTTAAGTGGGGCTGGTGGGGTGGGGGAGAAGATTATGGATACCCAAGTTAGCCTAGTCAGAAAAGAGGGGAAACAGGCACTGAGGGTGACACAGAGACTTTCAGATAAAGGAGAGTAGGCAAAACTGAGAAGATTGAGCCGGGCATGGTGGGTGCACACTTGTAATTTCAGCACTCAGGAAGCTGAGGCAGGAGGATCATGATGAGTTCAAGGGCAGCCTGGGTTCCATAGTGAGTTCAAGGGCAGTGTAGACTACATAGTAAGACCTTGTCTCATCAATATGAAACAAAAAACCTGAAAGGGCGTTCCTGCCTAAAGAATAGGACATCAAGCCAGGTGTGGTAGCACACACCTGTAATCCCATTGCTCTGGGAGGCTGAGGCAGGAAGAATGTAGGTTTGAGCTCAGCCTGGGCAATTTAGTGAGAATTTATCTCAAAATTAAAAATTTTTAAAAAGGGATAGGGCTGTAGCTCAGTATGAAGGGCTGGGGTCCAATCCCCAAAACCACAAGAAGAAAAACAAACGACTTCCCAGGGTAGAATGTCAAGGCATTGGCTAAGCCAGGTGTGGGGGAGTCAGCTTGGCTGACCTTGACCTTGAGCAGAGCCCCCCACCATGTCCAGGCCCTTCTTCCTCTACGTGGCCTTTCATGACCCGCACCGCTGTGGGCACTCCCAGCCCCAGTACGGAGCCTTCTGTGAGAAGTTTGGTAATGGGGAGAGCGGCATGGGGCGCATACCGGATTGGACACCCCAGACGTACGACCCTCAGGATGTGGTGGTAGGAAGGACCCTTTCTATGTTTCCAAGACCCCCCACCCCTGCCAGCCTAAAACCAAGGACCTTGTCTTCCCCAGAGTTTGGTGGCCCTACCCCAAATGATGTGACATTAACACATTAGAGGAGACCCCCACTAACTAAACAGCTCCATGTCCCTCTGTGTGGGGTCACAGAAAGCCCTGGAGGCTCAGAGTGATGCATCCAGAGTAGCCTGCTCTGGCTAAGCCATTCACAAGAGGAAGATGGTGGCAGGCCCAGGGGAAAGGGTGGCTCCTCCTCCTACCCTGGTTCAAGGGTGGATCTCTCTTCCCTCATCCTAATCTCTCTGTTCTAAGCCTGACTTTCCACCTCCCTGCTTTTCCCAGGTGCCTTACTTTGTCCCTGACACCCCGGCAGCCCGAGCTGACCTGGCTGCTCAGTATACCACCATCGGCCGAATGGACCAGGGTGAGTTCTAGGAAGTGGCAGTGAGGGGGGTATGCCAAGGCTTCTGTCCCCACCGTAGGCCAGGTGACTCTCAGCTGGATTGAGCTGAACCTAGGTGGGTCCCACCAGCAGCAGGGTGTGAGCAAGGGTGTATTAGGTTTTTTTTTTTATCACTGGGACAAAATACCCAACACCCACAATGTAAAGGAAGATTCATACTTGATTCATAGTTTTCAATGAGTTCAGTCCATGGTCTGTGGGTTCCAAGGTTGAGGCCACATGGTGGAAAGACCTAATGTAAGACAGCTGTTCTTCCCATGGTAGCCAGGAAGCAGAGAGAAAAGGGAGGAGCGGGGACAAAGATACTTCACACTCTCAGTGAATCTGTCTTCTCACTAGGTCCCACCCCCTAATAGCACAGTCAGCTATGAATCCATCAGTGGACTAATCCATTGATGAGTATAGTGCCCCCCCCATCCAGGCACCTCTCCAAAGCCCTACCTCTGAACACAAGACGGCATATTTCAGATCTAAACCATAACAGAGGGTCAGTGTGGACAGCCCTACCCTGGATTGAGCAGAGCTGCATTCAGAGAACAAGTCCTAAGTGGACTTTGCTGCAGAATTGCTCCTGGACTGGCCAGAAATTGGATGAAGACTCCAAGTGCTCTTCCAGTAAAAGGCTCTGGATCAGATTTGGGATTTGGAGTTGTGTAGATTATACAGATGTAGAATGCAAGAGGCATGTTAAGAGGTTCATTTTTTTATGGCCACCATCATAGAGTGCCCCTAGTTTGGCCAGCCTTTGTTCTGTCATGGTTCTAGAGGCTGGAATTATGAATGGAAGACCCTTCCTTGCCTCTCTTGGCTTCTGAGATGGTGATCCTTGGAGTTTCTTGGCTTGCAGTGTATCATTGCAGCCTCTGGCTCCATCCTTACATGACTTTTTTGCTGTGTGTTGTTTCCTCTTCTGTCTGTGTCTCTTCCTCTAAGGACTCTTGTCATGGGACGTAGGGCTACCTGGACACTTCAGGATGATCTCGTCTCAAGATACTTAACTTGCCTCTGCAAAGTTCTTTTTTCCAAACTAGCCTCTTTCACAGGTCCTGGGTGGACATTGTAGGGGGCACCACTCAACCCCTTGCAGGAGATTGGTGCCTTTATTATGTCTCTATTGGTGCCAGAAATTAGGGGAGCCCTGGGAATGGGGAATAGAGGAGAGCCTATCTTCCAGCCCCTGCCCAGAATGACCCTCTGCTCTATGGGACAGGCATAACATTCCAGAAACAAAGAAACTGGCATGGGCCAGTCTCAGCTGGCTGGGTATGACCAGCACTGGAGGATGGCCAGGTCCCTGGAGGCCCATGCCACCTGCCTGAGGTTGGGGAGCTGGATGGGTTGGGCAAGAGGCTTGGGCTGGTGTTTTGAGGTCCAGAAAGTGACAGGGCCCAGCAGCTGGATAACAAAGTGGCGAGTGTGCACACATGCCCAAGTCCCTCCCTCATGTCGGTGGCTGAGCCCGCCCGTGGCCCTTCCACCCCACAGGGATTGGACTTGTGCTGCAGGAGCTGCGTGGAGCAGGTGTCCTGAATGACACGCTGGTCATCTTCACATCAGACAACGGGATCCCCTTCCCCAGTGGCAGGACCAACCTGTACTGGCCAGGGACTGCTGAGCCCTTGCTGGTATCATCCCCGGAGCATCCAAAGCGCTGGGGCCAGGTCAGCGAGGCCTACGTGACCCTCCTAGGTACGGTTCTGTTACACAGGAGGGATGGAAGGGAGCATGGTCAGAATGCCATGTGTCAGGCCTTGCTCTGCGCCCATGACCTTGAGTGGTGCTTCTGCCATGTGGGCAAGGAAGGGACAGCCTGTTCCAGGGATAAGGATTAGAGTCATCTGGGTGACTTGTTTATGCCTGAATCGCAGCCCTCAGAGTGATTAGCAGGCTCAGCACCAGATGGTGCTGGTGCTTTGTGCCTGGGGATTCCCATCTCCTGGACCACTAACCTGTCAGGCTTTCTTATAGACCCAGAGCTGGTTGTGACCGTGCTTATCCCTCAGAAGGCCTGGGGTTATCTAGAGGAGCTTGCTAGCAAGCAGACAGACCACAGCATGGGAAACTGGGAGGCTGGGGTGAGTGTGGCCCTAGTGGAAGCTCACTGTGCCCTGTCCACTGTGCCCTCCAGCTTGGGGCCCACAGCTCCCTTTGGCCCCATCCACATGCCAAGGAGCACTGTGACCACAGCACAGAGTGAGTAGGGCCTTCCCTATCTGGGACACTATCTAGTAAGACCTAACTCTGATCAGATCAGGGCCCCTGAGATGACCAGCTTTGAAGGGGTTCAGTGCAGAGCAGCACTCCCTGCTGTGAGGGCTGGCTTAGACTCAGCCCTCCCAGAGCAGGTTCCAGTGCCCCATAGGGACCCTTGCTATGACATGTTTCCTTTGCAGACCTCATGCCCACCATCTTGGATTGGTTCTCCATCCCCTACCCCAAGTATGCCATCTTTGGCTCAAAGACCATTCAGCTCACGGGCAGGTCACTCCTGCCAGCACTGGAGACAGAGCCCCCTTGGGCTACTGTCTTCGGCAGCCAGAGCCACCACGAAGTCACCATGTCCTACCCCATGCGCTCCGTGTACCACCGGAACTTCCGCCTTGTGCACAACCTCAGTTTCAGGATGCCGTTTCCCGTGGACCAGGACTTCTACGTCTCACCCACCTTTCAGGACTTGCTGAACCGCACCGTAGCAGGCCAGCCCACTGGCTGGTACAAAGACCTGCACCACTATTACTACCGGGAGCGCTGGGAGCTCTATGATGACAGCCTTGACCCCTGGGAGACCCAGAACTTGGCCACTGACCCCCGCTTTGCAGAGGTGCTGGAGATGCTGAAGACCCGCCTGGCCAAGTGGCAGTGGGAGACTCACGACCCCTGGGTGTGTGCCCCTGATGGTGTCCTGGAAGAAAAGCTCTCTCCACAGTGCCGGCCACTCCATAATGAACTGTGATGGTCCCTGGGGCACCTGCCAGGCCCTTCTATTCATCCACACTCCTATCTGAGGCAGCTCCTCAATATACAGGTGTCCTTTCTTCCTCTCCTGGAGGAAAAACCCACGTACGGACGTCAGACCCTCTTCCAGGTACTGCCACCATAGAGGACACTGCTGGCCTCATGTTGGGGATTTGAGACACTCTTAAATCTTGGGAACTGACCAATGTTTGTGAGCCCTTCACCCACAGGAGACTGGGTCCTCCTGTGTCTCATGGGCCTTTTATCTACCTGGTCTGCTGCAGCTCTTGGAGCTGCCTGGGGCCTGCCTGTCCTGCCTCCCCTCCTGAGGTACCTACCCAGCAGGATTCTCACTGATTCTTGGCAATGACGAGTTTATTCCTGTGTTCTTTCCAGTCATCTTTTCTAAGAGTGACGGAGGATGAGGTGGGACAGTGCACCTCCTGTGGCTTAGGTTCCTTGTGTGACATCAGCATCTGGCTCCATAGCTGCCCTGCCTCCACTGCCATGGGAGAAGCTTGGCTTGAAGAAACCTAGAAAGCAGGTTCTCTTCCTCTCATGGGGGGCTTCATCCCCTTTCTTCCCCCATCAACTCCATACTGGGGCCGTAGCACTGTAAAATCTTTTTATTTTAGTAAAACACAGGTTTATTTACTGAATTCATTTATGATAATATTAACTTGAATTCTGGCATAATGTCCCAATGCCGAGACACTGTCCAAATGACATTTAGTGTGCAACAGTCCTCGGAGGTGGGAGTCGGGCAGGTGGGGTGCTTACCGGGACCAGGCTGAGTTGTTCCCACACCCTGCAAGTGGGGTGAGGATGCTGGGTCCAGACAAGGGTTGGGAGGCTGCAGTTCTCAGCCCAGTGGTTCTCAGGAAGACTTTGCTGGTCATGTCCAATGGCATCTGTGCCCAGCTCTCCAGGACGTTCCTGTGTCCCCAGAGCCAGGTGTAGAAGCCACAAGGCACAGACTGCACACACTGTGCCACCACAGGGACTCTGTTCAAAAGTGACTACACCGGTGTGTTACCCAGTGGTGTCAAGGCAGCTGTTAGCCGTCAGGAACTGAGCAAAGCCCGCTAGGGTTAGTTACCCTGTACAGCTCTGTGCCTCTGTCTTGGGTAGGGGTGGCAGCTCCAGTTGGCTCAGAAGGTGCCCATTGACACTTTGAATGTGAAAGGAAGAACAGGCCCCACAATCAGACAAGCACTTATGCAGGTGTCCCAAGAGGTCTGGGGAGGCTTGGGAAGCACCCCCCCGACACCCCGCAGAGAGGTTTTCAGGGCCCCTCAGTGAGCCCACACCGGCCCTGGAAGAGGATGGCTTCTACAGAGGGCTGAGCAGGTAGAGGGACTTGACCATTTATGACCCACAGGAGGTGAGGGTGCACAGTGTGATCCCAGGGGAGGGGACAGCTGGGCTTGTGTGTTGAGCAGCCCCAGCTGTGCCCCAAGGCCCTGGCTCAAAGGAGCATTCACAGGCACGTAGAGGTCCCATAGCCCCAGGAGGGGCATGATGTCATCATCAGGGGCTTTGCTCTGTCCACACCACCTTCTTCTGCTCGTCTGCAATGGCCAGGCGAACACAGCCCATCAGCCCGTCCAGGTCACTCCAGCTGTCAGGAGCCAGGCTGCTGTACAGGCAGGGCACTTTGTCCAGCTCCCCCTCCTCCTGCCTGGTTGCCTCCAGGAGCTGCTCCTCTGAGACACTGAGCCGCTGCAGGCCCTTCCTGTGTGGCAGAGATGGTGTAGCCTCAGGGAAAGAGAGGCTGACCATGAAAGCTGCCACACCTGGCTGCCTAGGAAAGAGCCCAGGCTGGAGGTGCACCAGCATCAGCCCCAAACCCCTTGATGTGACAGTGCCCCACCTCAGGGGACCTTTCGAAGAAGCTAGAATGCAGCTCCCAATGGCATTGCACTGATGGGGAACAGGTCATCTCAACTAGAGCTGGCTCCCCAGTGTCTCAGGGGCGGTAGAACATCTGCTTGTCCCTAACCAGAAACTAAGTACTGGAGTAGTTTTCAGCATTTTGGGTCCTCACCATGGATACACTGAGTACAGGAATTGCGTGGCCTTGGTGGAGTTAGGGCAAGGGTCAGGTTCTCACCCGGGGGAGGGCAGTGGAGGGCATGTCCTGAGGTTATGGCAACAGTGCCCTCAGCACTTCCAGAGACAGGAGCAGTGTGCCATCTAGAAGAAGCTCCTTAGTGCCCTCTGGAGACACATGCTGAGCTCCACCAGAGCTCGGGTGCCTGCCTGAGCGCCGCTGCCCAGCCCTGGCAGATACCTACCTGAGTTTCTTTGCCGTCTTCTCATTGATAGAGACATGGACAATGATGGGGAAGATGTCCATCCTGTGCAGGACACAGACCCTGTCCAGCCAGACATCTAGAAGAGCGTGGGTGTTCTTTGGGGGAGAAGGAAGAGGGAGTGAGCCCAGCTCATGGTCTTCAGCCTCAGAGGGAGCGCGAGGGGTTGTGTGGGCCAGGCCAGGGCAGGACCCAGCAGAGGGGAGTTACTAGAGGAGGTGGCAAAGAGATCACCACCCTGCCTCTATGTGCTCGCTGTATGGCCTTAAGGGTTTCCACCTGCTTGAAATTTACCCCTAGAAATGAAAACCTAAAATTGCACTCCTGTGGGGTTGAGGTAGACTTTACATAGAGCATGGATTTGAGGAATCTGACAGCTCCAGCCCCATCACCCTCCACGGGGTTGGGACTTGGGGTTAGACCTGCTCCCCACACTGTGAGTAATATGAAGCTACAATTCAGAGCAAGCGTTTTTTTTTCATATACTTGAGCTGTTAAACTTGAGTGTGGTTTTCTCCATTCTGTTCATTCTTTAGCAGACACTTATTAAACATCTGATTGAGGAAACGGAGGCTTGAGGACCAAGATCACATGGATCCCAAATGGCAGAAACAAGGCTTGAACTTCCCATGTCCCTCCCACCGAGCCCCACTGGGGTGTTCTGGGCCCCGAACACTCTTTCCCAAATCCTGTCCCAGTCCTAGAGGAGCTGCTGTCCCCAGAGCAGCCAGAGGCCACCCCCTACCTTCTCCATGAGTGACTCTACAGCTTGGCGGGTCACCCAGCAGTGACCACCGTACGGCTCTCCCTCCTGGATGATGTCCCCTCTCTGGCTCCTGGTGTTATACTCCTCCTGGCTCAAGTACTCTGGAAGTAACAGTGGGCTGGTCACACCTAGCTCCACAGGGGTCCCTGAAATCACTGCTTTCATCTGGGGGCAATTTTGCCCGCAGGCACACCCGGCAGAATCTGGAGGCATTTTCAGTTCTCATAAATGGTGAGTGGGGGGAGTCCTAGCACTGAGACTGAGGATCCTGCTCCAAACAGATATGCTGGAGATCCCCTACTTTGGCTTTTTTCCTGAATAGGTTCTCTGGGTTCTGGACCTGCACTCATCCAAGCTGCTCATCTATCCAGAAGCACTGATTCTGGGGCTGCCAGCTGGCCACAGTGGCTTTGCCAGTGCCTCTGCTGGCTCCAAGTTCCAGTGGCTGAGCTCATCCCCCGACCCCTAGCTGGGCCCTTCTTCCAGCCACAGTCATTCTGCCTTCAAGGTGAGCATTTATACACCAAACCTGACTGTTTATTCTCATTTTTGAAGCAACCCGACTCCCTGGGTATCATGTGAAACCGCACATCCACTCACTGCCAGCCTAGCCTCCCCCAGGGCCACAGTGCAGCTGCTTGGGCCCCTTGTGCTGTGTTCCCTGGACTTTGCACAGCCTGAGGTTTCCTGGACTGCCTCCCCCACTTGTCTGTTCACCAATCCTGACCTATCTGCCCGATCCCAGCTTAGCCCTTGCACCTCCCAGAATCCTTCGCTCCTTTTCTGGCCATTTTGGAGCTCGAGGTGTGTCTATGTTGGCTCATCCCACCAGCCTTCCTACCCGTGCTCAGGCAGCTGTTTCTTCCCCTTCCTCTTTCCTTCCCCTCTCCTCCTCCTCTTCCTTCTTCTCTTCCTCCTTCTCCTCCTTCTTTTTCCTCTCTCTCTTGTGTGCTCTCTCTTTCTCCCCTGTACTGGGGATTGAACCTAAGGCTTTCACACCAAGCTATATCCCCAGCCCTTTATTTTATTTAATTTTTATTTTAAGTCAAGGTCTTACTAAGTTACCCAGGCTGAACTCAAACTTGTGATCCTCCTGCCTTGGCCTCCCAGAGTGCTGAGATCACAAGCGTGTGCCATCTCACCTGGCTTCAGCCACCTGCTTCTAAATAGCCAGTGGGCCCCTTGAACTTAGAATCTTGGATCTTAGGCCTCTTGGCCTTAAGTATCTTAGGCCTCTTGGATTTGCATCTTCAGCTGCTCCATGGAGCATCTGCATGTGGTAGGTGCTCAGATAAGGGACCTCCTGGACCTCACTTGCCCCATGTCCTCCTCTATGGGTATCCAGAGGGGGCCAGAGCCCTCCTCACCCCACGCCTAATCCAACACCTGCCAGCTAGGCCTGCCTGCTGAGCAGACTGCTGCACCTTCCTGCTGTGCTATACTGGTAAGGCTGTGTGCCAGCCTCACTGTGCTGGGGGAAACAATGCCCTCATTCATGTCTACCCAGATCGATCTCAGGAGGGGCCTTACTAGAAAATAGGGTCTTTGAGAAGGCCAGAGGAGGTCATATTGTGTTAGAGTGGGCTCTAGATCCAGTGGTGGCCATGTGATGGCACAGAGGAACACAAGAAGGAAAAGGCCATGACTGCCAAGGCTGGGATGGATATGTGCAGCTAGGTGAAGGGATGCCATGCCATGGGTCACTAGGAGAGACAAGGAGGCTCTGCTTGGAGCCCCAAGATAACAGGGTGCTACTGACCCCATAATGCTGGATGTCCACCCTCCTCTGTCTTTAAACCCTCCAGGCTGTGGTTGTGTGTAACAACAGCCCTAGGAAATGCAGAGTAACCTGCGAGCTGCTCCCCTGAAGACAGAGGAGGCCTCTGAAAGGTCCTTCCCACCCGCCTTGTTGGGCCACTGCACAGACACATACCATGTGCCACACACAAACATACACCAACATATGCACACAGGCACATGTACACATGCAGTCACATACTCGTGTGCCCATTCACAGCACAGAGACATGCACACAGATGCACACGTGCACACGTGTGCACATCCATGCCTCACAGGGTAGAGCGTACCTGCTGGGCACTTCTTAAAGCCTTGGAGGAGGCACAGCTTTCTGCTCAGGATCTTCCCAACCATCCTGGGCAAGAAGATCACGGGTCTGGGCTGGCTGGGCCTGTGGGGGTGCACCAGGGTGTAGGGCGCCAGGGTGAAGCAGCTCTCTGCCCAGAAGCACACGTTGGCATGGTCTGTGAAGGAGAAGGGTGTGAGCCGCCAGGCTGCAGGCTGCGACGGGGCGTGGGGCCGGATCTGCTGACGGATGAGGCCGAGCACCTAGCAATAGACACCCTGAGCTCTAACAGGACTGAGTATGCACTCCGCAACCACCGCCCACCCCGCAATTCCCTTGCACCCGTTGATTAAATGTTTGGTGGCTTTTCAGGCCCAGTCTTGCAGGCTGTAGTTTATTCCCTCATCCTTGTTTGGCTCGCAGGATAGGAGACAGGTTTTCTCTTTCCAGAGAATCTGACAGCCACCCCCACAGCCACCCCTAAGGCCCGCCCATTTCATCAGCCCCACCCACTTCATTCCCAACCCTCTTCTCAGCCCCGCCCTGATTCTGTTCTCAGTCCCGCCCACTGCTCAGTGGCATCCCCTTCAGCCCTGCCCTAGGGAGCGCCAGGATACAGGTCCCCTCTCCCTCCTTCAGAGTCATTGGGTCCTCTCGGAGTTTTTATGTCGGTCTACTGTTTTCAGCAGCCATCTTATGCACACACACACACACAGAAAACTTAAAGGGGAACATAAACTCAAAGTGATCTACATTCCTCTAAATTCTCTTCGTTCTGCGGTTTTATCTGTTTGCTGAGAACTCTGCTACTCGGACCTCTGGCATTACCTTGTGCACACACTGATCAATCAGCATCCTAGGGATCCCTTGGTTTTTATAATGTTGGACATTTGGCAGTTTTCAGGTTTTACTAGCCCAGAAAGACTGCTGTTGATCTAATTGTATGGATGATTTCTGGACTATTTTACTGGGACAGGTTACAGGAACTGGAGTGTCAGAGGTGGGGGTACAGCTCAGGGGTATAGCACTTGCCTAGTGTGTGCCAGGCCCTGGATTCCATCCCTAGCACCACAGTGAGAGGATGGGAATCAGGGCAGGGATGAGAAAAAGAAGGAAGGAAGGAAGAGAGGGAAGGAGAGGTGAGAGAAGGGAAGGTGATGAAAAGAGAATTAAGATGTATTCTGCATATGTACAACTCCCCATGAGGAATGTAATCATTATGTATTTGCAAACATGTAGTAATAAAAATTGAAAAAGAAAAAAAGAAGAGGGGCTGGGGATTTAGCTCAGCGGCAAAGTGCCTGCCTGGCAAGCGCAACGTCGTGAGTTCGGTTCCTGGTACCGGAGAAAAACCAAAAAAAAAAGAAAAAAAAAAAGAAAAAAAGAAGAGAAATTTTAGCCGGGCATGGTGGTGTATGCTTGTAATTCCAGCCCTTGGGACAATGAGGCAGTAGGATTGCAAGCTCAAGGCCACCCTAGGCTACATAATGAGACACTGTCTCCAAAACAAAGCAAAATAAACAGAAATAGGGAGTGATGGCTTAAAGGACATCAAAGATAGGTTTCTCAGTTGCTGTCCAGAAAGGCACATGGACATCAGTTATATTCTTAAAAACAAAAACTGACCTGCAGGAGAGGCCTCACCTGACCAAGCTGACCACTGGCAGTGACTCCCAAAGGCCCTCACCTACTGGGGCCTGCACCCCCTGCGCCCACTCACCAGGCCTCACCTTCCACCCTGCTGGGGTCCAGCTGGCTCTCGTCAAAGGATGACCTTGTGGGGCTGGCCTTGTTCATGCTCACAATGCGCACCAACTTCTGTGGGCCCCCAGAAGACTGCCAAAGGGGAGATGGAAGAGGACAGGAGGGCAGTTGAAGCCATCAGTAGCACCCACCCCATAGGGAAATCAGTGTGGTGGTCCCTGCACTGTCAGGCTATGCCATGGGGTAGGAGGCAGGAGAGGGTCCTTAGGAGACAGCCTCAGGTGGGGCTCTGCAAAAGCCTGAGGGTGGCACAAGGACCCTGTTCCAGAGGACAGGTCCAGCACAGGGACAGGTGGGCACTCAGCAATCTGAAGAGCACCCTGTTCCAAGAACACAGGTGCATGACCTCTAAGGAAATGAGAGGTGGGAGAAGAACAGGCCAATAGGGGGGCCTGGGACATGATATCCAGAAGCAGCAGCTTTGGAGAGCAGGACCCAACCTGAAGGCTGGGTGAGGGGTGCAGACCTCAGCGAGGTTGGCAGGGGCCCATGCGGGGATGGATGTTCACACTTTCCACATGGGACCCTGGTGAGCTGTCTTCCAGCCCACTCCAGGGTCTAGGATCCTCCCCTCGGAGCCTCACCTTGCGGGTGACTGTGCACTGCTGAGTCATGTCCTGGATGAGGGCAATGAGGCGCTGCTGAGCCCTGTGTGGACAGGAGGGGCTCTGACCCACTGCTAGACCTGCCTGGGTTAGGAGCACTGGGCAAGGGAAATGGCCCCTGGCAGGGGGGCTCCATCCTGGTAACCCAACCCTTTCACTTGGGCTTGAAAAAGACACCAAAGCCTCAGTCCACTCCTTAGATGCTAGTTGAATTATTCGGAAGAGGCCCCAGGGAACTCTGATGAGCCACCAGGGCTGACGGCCTGCTTGGGAGCCTTGATACTTGCAGTATGGGGGAGGCCGAACAGCAGGCATTGGCCACGCGGATTGCAGCCTCTCCTGAGCCTGCTGAATCGGATCCTCAGGGAACTCCTGTTTTAATCTGGTCATAGAGAGGTGCAGGGCTGGAGTGCGTGGCCTCTGTGCATTTGGACCTTTGAGGTTCCCATCAGTTGCCTAGGATGATACTTCAGTGCAGGTCCCAGGGATCTGAGCACTAGGCTTGGTTTACCCAGGACAGAGGAATTATCCTAGACATGGAGTTTTTAGTCCTGGGCAAATCAAGAGGCTTGGTCTCTCCACTCCAGGGGACACTTGGAAATGCATGGAGATGCTTTTGGCTATCACAGCTGGGAGTGGGATGCTTCTGGCATCTACTAGGTGTGAAGGTCAGGGACACTGCCAACATCCTGCAGTGCCCGGTACAACACAAGATGCCAGTGGCACTGAGAAGCCTCCATCTAGAATGCTCTAGAATGACCTGAGGTTGGTGCTCTTGGGAGAGCACCTGTCACAAGCACCCGGTCAACAGCAGTGGTTATGGTGGGATTCCCCTCTGTGGGGTGTCCACCCCTCCTACACTTTGTTCCTGGGCAGGAGGCTCTGCTGCAGGGAGAGAAGCCCACTGCAGCCCCATGGAGCGAGGCCTGGCAGATGTTATTCCCTGGGCCTCCTTGAGGACACACAGAGTTCAGGAGAGCTGCTCACTGTGAGTAGTTGGGGATGGCACCGTGCTCTGCAGTCTTCATGGTGTATGGGTTGACACGGTGTGCGTGCCAGCAGCTGCGGCTCTGGAACATGGTGTCGGTGACATGCAGGACATCATTGCAGTATACCTGCAGCTCCCCCTCAGCTTTCCCTTGCAGGGCCAGGTTGACCCGGATGTAGAATGAGTCCCCTGAAGTTGCCACTTTGGCCTCCAGGTCCTGGACCAGCTTCTTATAACCTGATAAGAAAACAAGAAGGACTAATGAGCACAGATCCCTGAGCCCAATAGGGAAGGTTCGAGAAGGTGAATGTGGGAGGGAAACGAGGCCCCCCAAAGCCTCAGAAGCTCTCTGTGGTGCTGGAGTTAGCAGCTGGGGGGCTTCCAGCTGCTTTCGGGTCCCCAGGGATGGGCACAGCCTGGTCGGGCTGCTCCTGGTTGTGGTGGGCTGGGTGTGGCACAGTGGGGGCCGAGATCAACTGGACGACAGGCACTTGTACCCTCAGTGTTGACCTTCACAGACAGGCAGCAGAAGCCGGTCACCCTTTGGAGGAGCCTGACTGCCTGCTCCAGCGTGGTATTCTCCAGGGCAGCCTTGAACGAGGGTGCTGATGCCTCATGGTCCACCTGAGGGCAAAGAGTGAGGGCAAAGGTCTTGGTGACCAGGACTCTATGGTCACAGCATGTCCGGATGCTGGCAGAGTACCGGGGCAGGGGAAGGTGACTCTACTATAAAACCTTCTGGCTGTCCCTGGCCACCATGTACCCCGGCCAAGCACAGAAGCATGTCAGGGCCCTAGCCGAAGGCCATGTGCCAGGACAGCCACAGAGCCTCTGCAAGCCACATGGATGCTCACCATCACAATCTGGGTGCCTGGGCGCAAGGCCATCTCATCTGCTGCTGATCCCGGGGTGACCCGGTGAATGAAGATACCCGTGAGGTTTCCGCCGATGACGCTAATCTGCTCCAGCAGTGCGTCCCCCTGGAACGCCAGCACTGTGACCTGACTCAGGATCTTGCGCGCTGGCCTCCGCCGCACGGGGATGCTGCTACAGGGATGTATGACAGCTCGGCACTGCCCAGGCAGGTGTTGGTTAAAGCCATTCCCATTGCCCCCGCTGTCCTAGACTCTGAAATTCTCCCTACCATGACCCATCTTGGAAAGGCTGTCACCTCCCCATGGTGAGAGGACACGGTCATACTCTGCTCTGTCACCTGCAGACTCCAGCAGGAGGAGGGTTCCCAGCATTACTCACCTTTCTGGGATGTTGAGGCTTCTGGAAGAACACTGCAGGCTGCCCTCAGACTCAGGGAGGTCTGGAAGGGAACCAGGAGCAGAGTGGCCAGGCCTTGTGGTCACTCCACTGCTACCTCCACTAACTTCACACAACTTCAGCCCTCCTCCCTGGCCTCCAACACCCTTTGCCTGGCCATCTCCTTTGCTTAGACTGAATGTTCTCTTCCTCTTCCCTTCCCTCTGTGCATAGCACCTTGGATTCATAGCACCTTTCCTAAGATAAGAATAGTGAGAAGTGCATGTGTCATTTTGTGATATTTGAATGAGTTGCCTTCAAAGATAGGAAGGTTTAACCTAGAATCTGGATTTCATTTAAAAATGAAATCTGGCATGATGTGGGCCTGTACCCCTGCATGGGCCTGTATTTCTGCATGTCAGCAATCACTGGCACTGGGCACTAGCATGTTAATCACAGTGTGTGACCCAGAGCAGGGAGCAGCCCCCATAGGGGCCCATGGCTGTGCTTCTCATCCATGAACTGCTTGTGAGAGCCAGGTGGCCTGGGCCCAGCTCATAGGCAAAAATCCATTCAAAGCCAAGTAAGCCAGGCATGGAGGTGCACACCTGAGATCTCAGCATTCTAGGAGGCTGGACAGTAGGACTGCAAGTTCCAGCCCAGCCTGGGAAGTTTATGGAGATCCTGTCTCAAAATTAAAAAATAAAAAAGGGCTGGGGATATAGCTTAGTGTAAAGGCCTTGGGTTCAAATCCCAGTACCAGAAAAAAAATAAATTATATACTCTGGATATATTCGAGGTCATTTCCCACTATCAGAATGTGAAACCAAGGCATTATGCAGAATCCCAACAGTAGAAAAATAAAAAGGAATAAGCCCTCTTTATTCATGATTTCATATCCAGGCTAAATTTTATTTTTTGAGATAGAGTCTTGCTTTGTAGTGCAGGCTGGCCTTGAACTCACTATGTAGTCTAGGTTGGCCTCAAACTCTTAGTGGTCCACCTGCCTCATCCTCCCAAGTGCTGGGATTACAGCTGTGTGCTGCACCAACTCACCTAGCTTAGGCTAAATTTGCCTTGAGTGGGCACTCTTAATCTGTCACTGTTACAAGTAAAAATGTGCATAGGTCTGCAAGAGCTGAGGTTTCTGGTCACTTGACTGCCTCCCTGCAGCCTAAGTAAGGGGTACAGAACAATGTTGGGTGCCCATGCCCCTTGTGGCCAAGAAGTGGATTCCAGGTGGGAGTTAAGTTGGAGCCATGTGTGTAGCGGTAGAAAAGGTGAAGATGCTACACCCAGGGGCTCCTGGACTGGAGAAGGGACCAGTTTCAATCACAAGTTCAAGGAAATAAATCCCAGGAGATCTGTGAGGCTCAGGGGCCAACATCCAAGAGGAGGTGAGCTCCTGGGGGGTTGGATGTCAGCCTGGGCCATGTGTATCTGCTGAGAGCCTCTGAACCCATGAGCCCATTGCCTCTGGATATGATGGGAGGCCCAAGTGTCCACAGAGCAGAGTGCCAGGAAGCGGGCAGAAATGTTTGCAGATATCGGAACCCATGTGCTGCACTGGCCATGACTATGAATATAGCTCCCTTGGCCTCTAGGTAAAAAAAACAATGACATAGCAAACTGAGCTTGGCACTGAGCCACCAGGCAGTTTGGTTTTCCCAGGGTCTAAGGTCAAGGCCCAGGGCAGGGGTCCTATTCTCTTCTACCTGCCAGGCTGTCTTACCTGCAACCCTGACACTCCAGCCCTCACCTTCCGTGCTCCAGAGAGGTTCCAGTGGGCCGGGGTGCACCTACCTGCCTTGTCGAGGATCTCATAATCCAGTTCTGTGTCATCCACGTTAGTCCCTGGAAGGACTCCTGGGTCCACCTTGAGGATTTCTGGGAAGCTGCTGCGAAACACAGGAAGCAGCTCAGACTGCATGGCTGCTCTCTCTAAGGTCTGGAGCCCCTAGCCCCTTTCTGAGAAACTGCATCCAACACCCAGAGGGCCCAGGGTTTAACTTAGTGTCCCCCCATGAGTTACATCCCACTCTACCTTAAAGATTCGGGATCTTCCCTGAAGACCTCTGCCATCCGCTTATACAGGGACTGCTGGCTCGGAGGCACAGGGCTGCTGGAGCGGAAGCTGTCTGCTAGCTCATGGCTGGATGTGACACTCAGGTCCCACCAGAGCTGGGACTGGAGGAGAGCGGCAGAGGGCAGCAGTGTGGAGAGAGCCGAGTGGAAGGGAAAGGGAGAACACATGCATTGAGCACCCACTATATGCCAGGCGCTCTAGGGCTGTTTTCCTCTTTAATATCATGGATTCCCAGGAGACCTCTATGATGTGGGCACTATGGTCCCATTTCATGCGTAAAGCAAATGAGGCTGGTGAGGGGAGGAGCAAGAGCCCCATGGAGGGAGGCTGTGCCCATGGCAGGCAGTGTACAAGTAGATCTGAACCATTTACTGAATCTGTGTGCCAGGCCTTTGCCAGTGTGGACATGTCCCTGACAACAGGCACTGTGCCTGGGGTATGGGGCCAGCAGGCAAACACAGGCCAGTGAGTGGAGGCTGTCACACCAGGAGTGTGGGGGACACTGGCAGGGCTGGGAGGCCAGACAGACTTCGTGGAAGAAGTGACACGGAGGAGCCAGGTGTGCGTGTGGTGTGTTCCAGACAGAGGGACCACACTGCAGCGACCCAGAAGGAGCTCTTAGAGTGACCAGACTGTAAACCCCATGATGGGGAGAGGCCAAGACAGGGGGGCTAGAGAGGGCAGCTGCTCTGCATCAGTGGGCTGTGAGTTCAGAGCAAGCCATATCCTGGGTGCGGTGGTGCACACCTGTGATCCCAGCTACATCCCCAGGCCTTTAAAAGTTTGTTATCGTGAGACAGGCTGTCCCTAAGTTGCTCAAACTAGGTTCAAATTCGTGATCTTCCTACCTCAGCCTCCCAGGGTACTGGGATTACAGGTGTGCACTCCTGCATCTGGCCTGACTAACAGTTTCTAAGAGGAGAGGAATTTGGACAAAGATGCAGAGTAGAACATCACGTGAAGAGGGAGGCAGAGACTGGAGGATGCAGCCACAGCAGAGGATTGTGAGGAGCGGCCAGATGAGGCAGGAAGAGCCCTCTTCCCCTAAGCAATCAGGAGCTGCTGCCAGGCCCCGGGCGGAGGGAGACTGCAGTAGTCTGGATGGGGCACACGGTGGGCTGCACACACAGCAGGGGCATGAAGGCAGGAGTCACATACCTCAGTGGAGCCTTGGAGGCTACTGTCACTGTCCTCCCTAGGGCATACGGCATGCATCCGTGCCAGCCTCTGCTTCCCCCGTGGACAGGGCAACCTGGCCTCGGCTTCCTGCTTGGGCTGCCAGAGATGGCCAGACAGGCTGGTGAGTTCAGGGGAGAGGGTCCCCTGGGATGCCAGGGGGGCTTTCCACCAGGCTACATCTGCCCTACCATCCTTGCTCTCACAGGCAGCTTCACAAGGTAAAACAGTTCTGTCCCCGTCCTCAGAGCAAGGGACCCCAGGGGCACAGGGCCAACCATCAAGGAAGCTGGCAGCCACCAGCCTGAGAAATAGCATTTCATTTCTTTTAGTGAATATGCACTGTTATTTGCTAATTATAAAAATAATCCTTTCTACATAGTATATGTATATGCATCTACATAGAAAAGTGAGAGGAAAACAGAACAAATTAGAGAAGAAAATAAAATTCACTAGTAATCCCACTCAGAACTGGCACAGTTTGCATTCAGGTATCTATCCTCCCTTTTTGTATACACACACACACACCACACAATATAAATACTTTGAGCATAGTTGATATGAGGTCTGCCTGTGGAGGGATAAAGGAGGCAGGGCCAGGGCCAGGGTGACCCCTGCAGGGAAGGGAGGGTCCGCTGTACCCCTCACCCAGGGCCATACAGCACTCACCCCAGCCGTGGGCTCTGCCTGCAGCTTGCGCAGCTGAGTGTGCAGCTCACAGACCTGGTTCGTGAGCTCGAACACTTTCCTGCGGAGGGAGTCCTTCTCCAACAGGCTCTGAGAAATCTCCATCTGGGCTCCGTCCCTAGCAGCGTATGCCTGTGGCTCCAACAGGACAGACAGGACAGACAGACAGGATAGACAGACAGGACATATGCGAGGAGACAATGAGGAACCAGGCCAGTGAGCCCAGGGGGGTCTCAGCTAGATAGAGTCCCACTGTTTGTCAGCATTTATTGTGAACTCACCCAACACACACTAACCAGAGCTCACGCCAAGAGGTATAAACCTATGATCCATTTTAATTGATAAATGTCGTAAGGGTTTTTTGTTTTGTTTTCCCAAGACTGGAATTGAACCCAGCTCTCTGCCACTGTGCTATATCCCAAGCACCTGCCTTTTTGAAGGCAGGGTCTTGCTAAGTTAGTTGCCCAGGCAATATTTGAACTTACTATTCTGCCTCGTCCTCAGTAGTGCTGGGATTACAGGCAGCTGCAACTGCACCCAGTATGTGGTTTTAATAAAACTTGCTCTTAGGAGTGAACTTTTGCAATGTCCTCTGCCAGGTATAAGTCTGGGAGGGTGGCAGAACACTTTGCTAGAGGTCAGGATGGGGGAATAAGAACCCTTATGGGGACCATGGAAAGAGACCCTGAAATCTGGAAGCAGTGACCATGAAGGACCAGTAGAGCTCTGAGACTTCCCTGAAGCAGCCAGCCTTCAGACAGTGTGGGGCCGGAGCTTCCCAAGCTGAAGCCACGTGGGGTCAGGCACCATATGTCCTCCCCAGCCTTGCCCAGCCTCCCTTCCAGGGTCACCTGGTCACGCTCCTTCTGCAGCTCGGCCACCTGGCCCTGAAGCGTGCTCATCTTCTCCCTGTATAGCTCACAGTCCACCTGTGTCTTCCGGAACTGCAGCAGGGTCTGCTCTTTCTCCTCCCAGTACTGGACAGAAGAGACCCAGCCACTGAGTCAGGGCCTCCGCAGGCAGGGGTTGGGGTGGGGGTGGGGCTACTCCAGAGGTGGATGAAGGTACATTCATGCTCTTCCCTGCTGAGGCAGGCTTAGAGGATCATTTACTGGGTTGCTATGCAAATTGCATTGAATTTAGTCACTAAAATGTGTGTGTATGTTGCATGTGGAGTTGGGTTTTATTTAATGTTCTCAAATACACAGATGATTTCCCCTACCCTGCCTTATTCTCTTCCACTGCCTCCTTTCTCTCCACCCTCTTGTTTTTTTTTTTTTTCTGGTACCGGGAATTGAACCCAGGACCTCGCGCTTGCCAGGCAGGTACTGTGCCGCTGAGCTAAATCTCCAGCCCCATGGTTTTTTTGTTTGTTTGTTTGTTTGTTTTTCTTCCAGTACCAGGAATCAAACTCATGACCTTGCACTTGCCAGGCAGGCGCTTTGCCGCTGAGCTAAATCCCCAGCCCCTCACCCTCTTGTTTATTTATTTATTTATTTATTTATTTTTGGTTTTTCTCCGGTACCGGGAACCGAACTCACAACCTTGCGCTTGCCAGGCAGGCGCTTTTGCCGCTGAGCTAAATCCCCAGCTCACCCTCTTGTTTAAATCCCTGGCTCTCACAGGGCTCCGCAACCCCTTAAAATTACCCTGGGTCTCAGTCCCTTTGTTTGTCTGACTGTGACCCTTAGTCTGGGCTATGAGTTGGTGCTCACTACGGAGGAATAGGTGAGCACACCAGCAAAATATTTCAGCAAAATTATTTCATCTCAATGTGTAGGAGAGATCTACCTCCCCTACATGTAGCCCAGCCCCTGAGACAAAGGTCCCAGGAAGGTAGCCACGGCATCACCTGCTTCCGCTGCTTCTCTGCGGCCACCGCCCGCTCCCGAAGTGAGTGGATGCGGGCCACCAGCTCCTGCTTGCTCTCCAGGGCCTCATCCAGGTTCTGCTCCAGAATGTCCTTCTCCACCTGGTCAGAAAGAGGTCAACCCAGGACCCACCCTCCCCAGATGGCTGCCCCTGAGGAGAATGGGCCTTGAGAATCTAGCACAGGAGACTTCAAGGCCCAGTGCATGGATGGATAGGGTCACCTATAAAGGTGCCCAGAAGGCTTTCTGCCCTCCTGTCCCCGTCCCGAGCATTATTGGGAATAGAGGAATTGGCAGCATTGAAGCCTGGAATTATACAAACTTTCACTAATTTTCACTAATTAGGTGTGAAAAAGGCCGTGGAAAAGGCATGGGTTCTGATCGTACATGGCCAAAGAGATGTGTATAATAGAAGCTGAAAACCTCTTGGGATGACAGTTCTTCCTGTAAGACATTCTAGCTGGGAGTGGTGGCGCACACCTGTAATCCCAGCACTTCAGAGGCCACCCTGGGCTATGCAGTGAATTCAAGCCAAGCCTGCACTACAAAGCAAGACCCTGTCTACCCGCCACCCCAGAAAAAAATAGAAAAGCCCTTTTAGCCTTCTTTGGCAACGCACCAGCCAAGAGGAGAAAAGCCAAAGGACAGGACTCCTTGTCTGTACCTACATCCCAGAAGAAGCATAGGAATGATGGCACAGTCCAGGCTCCAGATGGGCCATGCCCTGTGTCCAATGAATGCCTCTTAATGGAATTTCTCACTAAATAGGTTTTCATTGAAAGGAGTCAAAGAGGAGAAATAAAGTTTGCAAGTTAGGTGTGGTGGTGCACACCTAGAATCCCAGCACTCAGGAGGCTGAGGCATGAAGACTGCAGCGAGTTTGAGGCCAGCCTGGGTTACATAATGAGTTCAAGGCCAGTCTGACCTACACAGTGAAGTCCTGTCACAAAAATCAATCAATCAGTGGTTTGTATAATTCCAGGCTTCAATGCTGCCATTTCCTCTACTCCCAGTAATGCTCGGGACAGGGGCAGGAGGGCAGAAAGCCTTCTGGGCAGGATGGTTTCTTTTCCCTAATCCCATCCTTTATGGCTGGCCCAATCTTGTCCAAAACCTCATGGCAGCAGGGAACTGGCCTGACATGCTAATGCACTGTCTGGGGGGCTGGGGAAGAGAGGGGATGGCATGCATTTCACCTCTCAGAAGTCCAGTGGCCCAGGAGCTGCCTGCTGATGGTGAGGACAGTCCCAGCTAGTGCCCATGCCGGAGGGACCTAGAGCCTACCAGGCTGAAGGTCAGCGAGCGGAGCTTCTCGTTCTCCTCCTTCAGGCGGCTCAGCTCCTCGTCCCCCGACTCCAGATCACTGGTCATCTTCAGGGACCTCTCTCGGAATTCCCATTCACAGGAAGACACCATATCCACCCGCTGCAGCTCCTGCCTTGCCAGGTACAGCTGTTCCAGGAGGGGGGAGGGAGACAAGGTAAATAATTTCTGCACTGCCATGTAGATTCTCCATCCTCCTCCTGATGGGGTGCTGTTCTGACACTGGGGTCCCACCCCAAGCTTTCTGAATAAACCTTGTCAGGCATAGTAGCACAGGCCTATAATCCCAGACTCTGGAAGGCTGAGGCATGAGGACTGCAAGTTAAAGCCCAGCCTGGGCAACTTAGTGAGATTCTGTTTCAAAATAAGTTGTAAAAAGGCTGGGGATATAGCTCAGTGTGAAGGCCCTGGGTTTCATCTCCAGTACTCAAGAAATAAGTATTTATAGATCGATACATTAAATGAATAAAAATCTACCCAAGTGTTTTTACCCAGTGATCAGGAAGGGAAGAGAAGGGAAGGGAAAGGGGAAGGGAAGGGAAATGGGGAGGGAAAGGCATTTTAGCTTTATTTTGTAGATGAAGTATAGTGGTTAAACCGCCTGGTGGGGTGCCTAGGAACAGAGGCCCTGTACCTGGCTCCTCTATCTTTCTGTTTAAACTGCTGGTCATCAGCAGCCAGTGACGGTTACCCAGCATGCTCGCTGGCTTCACATTCTTCCCATATTTCAATACATGAAGGGAATTGGGTTCATGAAAATCAGTAAGAAAAATGAGAGAGGAGTCAAGCCAGCAGGAGTGGGGAAGCTGGGGAATGCTGGACCTGGGCTGCTCAGACAGGTAGTGACATGGGTGAAGCAAGTATGAAACTATTCCAGATGTGCTGCAGAAGATGCTGGGACCTGGCTCCTTGGGAAAGAAAGAAGACATGGGTATGGGCTAGGTGGAAACTCATGATTCTAGAATATATGCCTGGGTGTATTATGTGCATATGCATGTGTATATATATGTGCATGGGTAGGTATAGACAGGTGCACTGCATGTTATGCATACATGTGTTCATGTAGGTGCATGTAGACATGACACTTTTACATGTGTGCATGTGTACACACACATTTATATGTACATATATGTGTGGGTGCACATGAATATGTATTTGTGCTTGTGTGTACATGTACATTTATACATACATGTGCACATGTGTGTGGGTACATGAGTTCACATGCATATGTGCATGTATATGTGTATGAACATAGATGTGTGCTTGCATATATGTCTCCTGCTCTGTTTGCAGAAAAGGCCAAGTACCCAGATCTTATTTTCTAAAGGACCTTGGGCTGGGGCAGGGAGGGGACAAGAGGATCCTGGAACTTCTTGGATGCTAGAAAGGAAGTCAGTGCTCAGAAGACAAGAGGGGCAGGTCACAGGGCCTGGAGCAGGTGGAAGGGCTCCCACTAGCCAGGTCTGTGATCACTTGAGCATCAAAGCTGGGAACACATCATAGGCCACTGGAAAATAGGGATCCTGAGCCTGTGCCAACAGCAGATGGCACAGTAGCGGGAGGGAAGGCACTTTCCCAGTCTGAAGCTGAGGCCAGCTGCACGTGCAGAGGAAGCTGGCACCGTGGGCAGCATTTGCCACTGCCTGGGTTAAGGTGCGTTCAGGCCAGAAGCAGAACAGTTAGGTCTGGGGGAAATGTCAGTGAATGGCAGATGCTTGCAGGTCTCAAAACACTTCCTTTATGTTACTTACGTGTTGCAGGGAAATGGAGTGCAGTGCAGAAATGGGCACCCCCTTGAGCAGATGGTCTAGAGTAACATGCCCCAGGGGCAGAGAGATACCCAGCATCCCCTAGGCAGGGCCAGGCCAAAGATACAAAACCTCCCCCAACCCATGGGGAGACATGAGACAAATCCCAAGTGAGTGGTCTATGGCAAAGAGGGACCAGGTGTGACAGGCACACCTGTAATTCCAGCACTGAGGAGGCTGAGGCAGGAGGATTGCCATGAGTTGAGGGCCAGCCTGAACTACACAGCAAGATCCTGTCTCAAACAAACAAACAAATAAAAACAAAACCAAACAACAGCCAGGGGAGAGGGCTGTATTCTTCGAAAACATCCATCTTGTAACGGACACAGAAAGGGTATGGGAGTATTTCAGATTGAAGGAGGCTAAACAGGCAGCATGGCCAATAATATCATGTGACCCTGGACTGGAGAGAGAAGGCAGCCCAGAGCAGGATTTAGGTCAGTGATAAAATAGGAATATAAACTGTACATTAGGTAAAAAGATTAAATCAATGCAAACTGCTGATATTGATAACTGCTTATATGAAAGAACATCCTAGTTTTAGGAACTATACATTGAAATCTAGGGGTAAAGAGCCATGAGGTATGTAACTCAAGGGATGCAGGAAAATTGTGTGTGTGTGTAGACAGAGACAGGATACATGTGAAAGTACGGGTATGTGAATATTCTTTGTATCATTTTAATTTTTAAAAATAAATTTGTAATTATTCACAAATAAAACTTAAAACAAAAGCAAACAAAAGAGCCAGGTGTGGTGGTACACGCCTGCAGTCCTAGCTTCTGGAGAGGCTGAGGCAGGAAGATCACAAATTCGAGCCCAGCCCGGGCAACTTAATGACTCAGCAAGACCCTGTCTCAAAATAAAAACACAAAGGGCTAAGGATGTAGCTCAGTGCAAAGGCCCTGGGTTCAATCCCTAGCACAACAATAAAAAAATAAATAAATAAACAGATAAATGCAAACAAATAGCATAATTAAAAGCAAAGAGCACATGGCAAAATGAGAATGGACATCTTTGATATTTAAAGAACTCTTATAAATTGATATGAAGTTCATTAGTTCATTAGTTCATTAGTTCATTTCCCAGAAGAAAATAAGTGAAACATCTAACTGGGGGCGAGGATGCCTGATTTGATGATGCTCTTATCCTCCTGGCCTGAGAAAGACAAAGGTGGGCCCTAGGGAGGCACTGTCCTTGTGTCCCTGCATAGCTGGGGCAATGGCTCACAAGTGGGCCTAGTGATATGGCACTTAGACTAGCCAGACCTTTCCCAGACTCTATGGCTAGCCAGGCTGTGGGGAGTCATGGGCAATTACGGGGCAGTGCAGAGCAACTGAGGTGAGCACCTGGGGAATGGTAGGGTGAGCTTCCAAGAGGGGCCTCAGCTATGGCTGTGGGAGCAGAACGTGTTGGATGAGCAGGAGGGTGCAACTGCACCAGCACATGCAGAGGAGCATCGTCAGGCTGGGCCTCCCACCCACGGGTGCGGGCATCCCGCTACCTCCTCCTGCAGGCCGCGGCAGCGAGTGGTGGCCAGCTCCTTCTCCTGCAGCGCATTGCTGTAGCGTAGTGAGAGACTCAGCATCTCGTCCTTCAGCTTCAACACCTCGTGGAAATGGGTGCTGGCCTCGTGCTTCATGCGACTGTGGTCAGACTCCAGCTGGCGCAGGCCCTCAACATGAGCCTCAGCCAGGCCCAGGCGCTCCTGCAACTGCTGGCACTGCCGCAGTAGCAGCTCCTTCTGGGCCTTCTCCTGGGCCAGCTCCTCCTGCAGGCTGCCAATGGCCCCAGCCAGGCATGCAGTCAGCTTGGACGTCTCTATGAGGCCTGCTGGGGAAACCGTGGGTGGGCTGTGGCACTGCCACTTTGTCTTCTGCCCCCAGCCTCCTGGGCCTTTGAGTCTTGCACTCAGACCCAAGCAGGACCAGTGTTAACCTGTTTGTCTCCAGCCTCAGCTGGACTTTGTATTTTGATTAATGGCATGGCATGACTTTGGCACAGGAATTGCTCCTCTCCCTGTTCCTATGAGAACTGGCTTTTCAGACCCAGCTCCCTCCTCACATGCTGAGATGCACTTGAAACTAAGTCATTCTTTTTTTAAATTTTTGCATGGTACTGGGGATTGAACCCAGGGCCTCACACATGATAAGTGAGTGCTCTGTCACTGGGCTGCATCCCCAGCCATTTTTATTGAATTCTGAAATGAGGTTGTACTAAGTTGTGCAGGCTGGCTTTGAATTTTTGATCCTCCTGCCTCAGTTTCTCACATGGCTGGGATTACAGGTGTGCACCACCATAGATGGCTAAAGCTGACTCTTTTCAATGCAATCCCCAGGAAAACATACTAACATCTGAATCTGTGTAACTGCACTGTAACATAAACACAGAGTGAAGGCCAAAGAGGAAGAGAGGGTGTGTCGCCCACTGTTCTGAGTGCTGTGAGCCCTACTCTTTCCCTAGGTCCTTCAACACTCCCTCAGGTGGCCTAAAATCACTCAATTAACAAAAATGGCCTCATCTTCCACCAGGAAGGCATAACCTTTACTTGGGTGAGGGTGCCAAAGTACAGAAGGCTCCACTCCCTTTTCTCCATAGGAAGGAGCCTTGGTCTCCCAGAGCTGGGATGCTGGGACTGCAGCTACCCCTCAAGCAAGAGAAAAACTTGGCCTGCACCTTTGGAATGCAGATGAGTTCCCTGTCTTTGTGATGCTGTCAGAGTAAAGGCCATACCCTGTAAAACTCAAGGCCGGGCTCCTTCTTCTGCCTGCCCCATGAGGTGAGTGAGGGAATACCAGGCTCAGGCCAGTAGCCCTGCCTGGAAGGAGGCAGGAGAACCGGCAAGGCAGGTCCCCAGACTCGAGGATGACCCTGCTTTCTCTTTCGGAGCTCTCACCGCTGAAGCTGCTGAAGTCCACGTCCGGCTGTAGGCCAGTGACCAAGGTGTAGATATCGGGGTTGTGGAACTTCAGGCTCTCCAGGAAGGCAATGGCCCCATTTTTTCCTCGCATCTTCAGCAAGTCCAGCAGGTGCCCTGAGGAGAGAAGGAGAGTGCCACCCTTGAGCCATCAAGGCTGCAGAGCACACTAGGGCTAGGCTGGCTTCCCATGAGCCAGGTTGTGGATGGAGATGCATCTGGGAATGGGGGTGAAAGTAGGTCTCTGGGATTCCTGGGCAGGCTGGGCCCTTCCTGCTCTTGTAAAGTCCATCACATGACTCAGGCAGCTCTAGGAGACCAAGTTCACATTTCTTGAGCAACTACTATGAGCAACTCAGGATGAAGACATGCACAGACACACGGTCCCAACACAGTGCTTGGAGAGCTATTGGTGCCATGAGGAAACAGCAAATAGCAGCCCATGAGGCCCCACGGGGTGGCTCCAGAGAGCCTGGGTGGATCACAAACACAGGGTCCAAATCCCATCTCCTCGGCTAGAATCAAGCCTGGTTGAATGTCTCCAATATTGGAGGTCCTTGACTCAACACACGCATGTATCACAATGTTAAGAGCTACAATTTCCTGTCTGGTTTCCATGGTGCAGGCTTGCTATGAGCATCCCCAGTTTTGGATGAATAAATACAGACTGAAAGAGCATGGGAATTGACTCCAGTGCTTCTGTAATGGGTTGAGCAGTACCTGTTCTCTACCCCACTACTAAAGATGTAATTTCTTTGGACAATGGACCTTCATGGATGTAATTTAATTAAAGACCTCAAACCACCCATTTGGGACTCCTCATGTCTCTTGGAAGATACTCCTATTCTCCATTCCTTTTCCCCAATACATTTTCCTACTCTAAAAAGAAAGAAAGGAAGCAAGGAAGGAAGGAAGGAAGATGCTAGAGCAAGAAATGACATGGTCTCTTAGCTCAGTTATACCAGATAGCTGAAAGAGTGAAGCCGAGTGTTTAGACTACTCCTGCTTTTGGAAACTTAAACATTTTGAATGGAGACCTGGATAGCTCTATGACTAAGAAGCGATACTCTTTTGGAAGAGGAGAGGATGAGTAATGTGGGAGAGACTTGGGCAGGAGCCAAGGGATGAGGCTGGACCGATATATGAGGCTGGACAGATATATAGGTCTACTGATTTCTAGCTTGAATCTTCCCCTTGGCTCTAAGGGTAAAATCCCAACTCCTTGAAGTGGTTGCGCAGCCCCGCTGAAGCCCCTGCCTTCACTTTCCTTGCCTTATTCCCTCCCTGTGCTGGGAACTTTTCTCTAAGAACCTCCTTGCTGCCGTCATGCCCTGAGTTCATGGCCAGGCCACTTGGGTCCCAGGTGTTTGACGAGGTTTGTGCCTGCATTACGTGGGTGCTGTTGTTAGTGATATAAAATTAGAAATAAAAAAACCCTAAAGATCTCAAGATAAGATCATCTCGAATATTCAGGTGGGCCCCACATTCAGTGACAAGTGTCCCTAAGTGATGGAAGAGGAAAAGACACAGAGAAGAAACCCACACGAAGATGAAGGCAGAGGCTGGAGCAGTGTGGCCACCGGCAAAGGAATACCTCGAGTGCCCAGTGCTGGAAGAAATAGGAAGAAACTCGCTCTTCCTTAGGCCTTGGCAGTGAGTGCAGCCATGCCGGTGCCATGACTGGAGACTTCTGGCCTCAAAAACTGAGACAGTATATTGCTACGTGGCTTTCTCTCCCTGCTCGGTGCTGGCAATGGAACCCAGGACGTTGCACAGGAAGCATGTTCTGCCACTAGCCTACGCTGCAGCTCCATTGCTGTTTTAAAACACCATGTTGTGGTCATTTGTTGAGGCAACCCCAGAGGACTAAGGCAATGTCCCTAAAGCCTGGACTTCTGTCCCCTTTGTGGTCAAGTCCTGTGCAGTGTGAGCTGTAGGGGGCTGGCCGGGACTCACCGACTCTCATGGCGCTGTTGGTAAAGCGGGGGCTGTGCAGGACCTCCTCCTCGTCTAGCTGGCTCAGCACCTTGGCCTGGCGTAGGTAGGGGGTGAGGCGGCTGGGGTGGATGCTCCGCACGATCCTGTAGCGGTGGCTTTCCATCATCTCCCACAGTGCGTCCTCATCCAGGGCCGTCAGTGTGGAGTCTGTGCGGCACAGTTCCGCCATGGCTAGTGCGGGGCGAGCTCTGGAAGGGGGTAGTGGGGAACCAAAGGAATAGGCTTGGGGGCTGGATTTGCTTTCAAATCTGCTTTCCCGATTTGGAGGAAAAGAAGGGAACAATCAACTCTGAGGGTAAAATGGACATCCCCAGAATCACCACTGTACTTCCACTCCAGCACTGGTGTCATGACCAGTGAAGGACCAGTAAATCCATCCTCAGGTCAGGTGTCAGACCTAGTCTCCTCCCTGTGGCATAGCAAAAGGAAGTGGTTTTCACCTGGTGTTAGCAGACTGGATTTGTCTTTTGCTGGTCCTGGTCAGGGACCTAATTGACCCAATGAACTTGGTGTTAAGAATCAGAGCAGGAACACTTGCCTGGCATGCTTGAAGCCCTGGGTCTGATCCCTAGCACCAAAAAAGTCTCCTACACTCCCTAAACATATCAATTCTGAAGGGTCTAGAACATCCATATTCAAGGGAGTATTCAAGGAGGCTCCCAAGGGGGTGACAGTGGACTGGGGGCAAAGTTTTGTCCTCTTCAAGACACAAATGTACATGAACAGATATATACATGTTTATGATATCAGTATTTTAAGGGAAGGCCATTAGGGAAAACATGTCTAAAAGAGTTCCTTAGGGAGCGATAATGAGTGCTTTCACCTGTGCTCTGCTTCCTAGGTACCATAAAGTGAGCAGCTTTGCTCCATCAAGTGCTTCGCTATGATGTTTCTCCCTTGGTGTAACTAACCATGGACTGATACCTCTGAAAACATGAGCCAAACCAACCTCTCCACTAAGTTGCAGGTATCAGGGATTTTATACCAGTATCAGGACACCAACTAATACACCTAGCTTGTGTGAGGCCCTGGGTTTCATCCCTAGTACTGCAAAAAATAGAAAGAAAAAAGAAGGTCAAGAATAAACCTGAGCATTTGGATCCTAGATCCAGCAGTCAGAAGTGTCACCTTTGTCTACTGGTAGTGGGTATTCCCTGGAAAGGGTCAGGTGGCAGTCAAGTGAGGAGCAGGGTCAAAAGACATGTTGTGGAATGGGGTGTGTGTGTGTATGTGTGTGTGAGTGTGTGTGTGTGTGTGTAACATACACTGCTTTTATCAGTGTGGTGAGTGCTTGTGATTTTTTAGCATGGATAGAATATCATTTTGTGAGGGGCTGGTGGGCTCTTTCTGGTCAGAAGCTAAGATGGGAGACATTCCCTGTCCTTTCTTGTGGTGGCCGTGACATCATCGAGCACCTGCTGGGGTGAGGGCACCTTCCCAGATCTGAGTCCAGCCATGGAGCAGGAGAGGGCCTCTGCGCAGTCCAAGGCAAGATTTGCACCTACCACAGTTTTTTTAAATAGCTGGTTTAGAGAGGCCAGCTTTGTCTTGGTTTGCAGGTTGGTCAGGGAACTGGAAGGAACTCCTTCTCCTACAGATAACTCTCTTTGGGCATTTTAGAGCAACCTCTATAGATTTTGCCATTTCTGGTTTCCATGTCTGCATCAGATCAGGCCCTGAAGCACCATCTGTTTAAACTGACCCCAAGCAAAGTCACAAAGTCTTACCTTTCTGGGTCAGTTGGAGCTTTTCCTAAAAAAAAAAAAAAAATAAATATTTTGGAAAAGTTCATCTAAAATAATACAAGTGGCACTGAGTTCTGGAAATACTGCTTTCTGCATTCATTCATGAACATTGGAAGCAAGACCGTTGGCTTCTCTGGAGCATGAACCCCAGAAGGTGTGGGTAGAGGGGAGAGGGGAGGACAAGATGAGTGAAAGAAATCTGGCTCAGGATGGCTGGTGAAGGGCACAGAGGTCCCAAAGACACAGAGGGGAGTGGAGCGCGAGGGGCAGGAGCACGGGAAAGGAATGGTTGCACACTGAACCCCCATAAGGCTCACGCCACAATTTTGAAACATAGGTTTTCCTAAAATAAAATTCTCAGAATAAAAAAGGCTTGGCCTCTTATTTGGGGCATGGAAGGGAGGTGGTGGGGGTGTGGAGTCCCCCCTTGAAGCTTTCAGAGGAATGCCTTCTTTGGGGTAATCCTTCCTAACACAACAGGCCTGGTGAGCTGGATCGTGTCCCCTGCAAATGCACGTCCATCCAGAACTTTAGAACGTGACCTGGGTTGTAAGCAGACTCTGTATGGATGTGAGTAGTTAAGATGAGGTCAATCTGGATTACAGAGAGCATGAACACCAAGGACTGGTGTCCCCCTAAGAAAAGAAGGGACAGAGAGATAGAGAAAAAGCCCAAGTGACAAGGGAGACAGAGATGGGAGAGAATCACTCCAGCCAAGAACACAGGCCCAGGATCTGAGAGTGCCAGGAAGGACTCCTCCCTGGAGCCCTGTAGACACTTTGACCCCAGACTTTGGCTCCCAGAACTGCTGGAGAATAAGCACCTATTGTGTGGTCGTTTGCTACAGCAGTCCCTCGGTAGGGGTGTCAGGAAGGTGTTGGGGGAATGACATTTGTAAAAGAGTATTATAAGAATGTTGTAATGAGGCTAGGGATTTAGCTCAGCGGCACAGCGCCTGCCTGGCAAACACAAGGTCATTAGTTCGATTTCCGGTACTGGAAAAAAGAAAACCAAATCCCCACCACCACCAAAAAAAAGAATGTTGTAAAACTAAAAAGAGAGACAGCACTGTAGTAAAGGCCTTGACAGCAGGTGGTGGGCACTGTGGGCAGACAAATAGAGCAGACAGCAGGATGGACAGGCCCCAGCTGGGCAGAGAAGTAGAGCAGACTCCACTGCTGCCTTCACAGGCCTGGCTCTGTTGGGACAAAAAGGTGGCCCTCCACGTGACAAGCAGACTGGCCTAGGATCTGAGACCTTGTGTTGGGGTTGGGGCTCAGAGGCCACCTGCTCAGCCTCTTGCCTTGGCATCCTGGCTTTGTAGGTGAGCCATATTCACAGCTGTGTTCTCCTGGCAGGGGCACTTTATGCCCTCCCCCCACTGTTCAAGGTCAGTAGCATATTAACCCATGTAAATATTGTAAGACTATCGTAAACTCGGACTGTTTCAGGCATATAAAAAGGTCCTGCGGATGACATGGTGAACAGCCCAGTACCTACCATGCAGAGTCCACCATCTTTGCACTCTACCCTTGAGACTTCTTTTGAAGGGAATCATCAGAAAGAGACAGCTGGAGCCTGACTGTCCTCCTCTGTCCTCTTCCCTCCCCTCCCGTCCATAGATAACTGCTATTTTAATAATCATTTCCTACATACAGATGTGACTAGCAACAGTATATATCAGCAATAATTTTGCATGATACTTCACTTACACAGTAACTTTCTATATAAACAGTATTTTTACTATTAACTCTCATTGTACACAAATACAAGGTGATACATGTTTTGCAGGTTTATGTTTTTCTTCTTTTTGGGGGGCATGGAACCAGGGCCTTGGCATGCTTGCCAAGTGCTCACTACTGAGCCACACCCCAGCCCCATGTTTTATCACGCTGAGACCTGCAGTTCCATTCACTCATGTTCCTTTCTAAACTGAAGGAACCACAGCCAGTGTAGCGATCCTCCTGGGGAAGAACATTAGGCCATTTTTAGTTTGTCACACAGTGTTGTGCGGATAACTTCAGCATCCCTGGGCACAGGTGGAGGCATTTATTAGCCCATGAGTTCCTGTGGTTGGAATAATGACAGGCTGGCCCAGGCAGAGTTCGATACGCTTGAAGAGGGCTGTACATTAAAAACATTTGGAAAGCACAGCGAATCAACCTTTGTAATCTAAAAAAACAGAGAATGATAGTTGGAGGGCCCAGTCTCCATGAACAGCTCCACAGTCCATCCCAGGAGCCCGGGCTGCAGCAAGCACTCACCGGGAGAGTTTCACATTCGCTTCTGCATGAACGCCTGCCAGTGGGCTTGGCTCCAGTACATCCAAGCTCCAGTACGCCCAACCTCCAGTACACCCAAGCCAGTGTGCTGCTGGCTCGTTTTCCCACAGGCTGCTAGTGGGACAGAGCTGGACAGGAAGGACTGGAAGCCAAACCAGTTCCAAGAAAACCTGACAACTATTGCAAACCATGTGACCAGCTCTAAAAATCAAAGTTCAGGCACTAAAGGCTAATGCAGGTGGTAAAGAAAACAACAGGGGGAATGATCAAAGTATGCTGTGCCTGTATAAATATGCCATTAAAAAGAAAGATAAAGCTGAGGTGCAGCTCAGTGGTAGAGACTTGCCTAGCATGTGTGAGGCCCTGGGTTCAACCCCTAGCATCACCACCAAGTAAATAAATAAATAAATAAACTCCTACACCAGGAATCACTGAAGAGGAGACCTCAGCTACTGTGGGGGCTCCTTGCAGCTGAAGCAGATTTCTAGACTGATTCCAAGCTTTGAACCCTGCACACCAAGAAGGGCATGGTCATGACTCAAAGTTACCAAGGGCCACCGTTCCCCTAAGTCTCCTCATACAGAAGGAAGAACCACTGGAACGGCGGGTGGAGGCTAGGGAAGGGGCCAAGGCAGTTCAGACTTGCTGCTCTCCAGCAGCTCATTCCTGGTCTCCTCCAGCAATGCTGAATAAATGCATCTGAGCTAGGGTGCTGGGGCCTGTACACCACAAATATGTGTTGAATTCCCCACATCCAGACCTGTGAATGTGACCTTACTTGGGAGGAGGTCTCTGCAGACAGAATCAAGTTGAAGTCACCAGGTTAGGCCCTCCTCCAATGACCACAGTCCTTCTGAAACAGTGACCACCTACGACAGAGGATAAACCAACTCCCAGGCCTTTAAAACCTGTTACTCATTAAGAGTATACTCTGAGTTTTCTTCTCAGGCAGCCAGGGACTTGAAAGCTGCTTTTGCTAGATATCAGTAACAAAACACAAAACAAAACAACAGCAAAACAGCAACTCTTCACTTGGGCCTTCAGATGCTGTTACTAAAGCTTGTCCTTTGTTTTGTATCTGTCTGTCTTATCACACGGACACTCTGGGTCAGATCCCTGCTCAGCTGCACACATAGGCATGTTCATCATTTAGGGAGCATGTGTCGAAAAGCTGGCAATACAAGACTGATTAGTTCTAAATTTACATAAACCTATCTCATCCCCCTTCAAGATAAAAGATTCACAGCAACATTTAACTACCAGTGAGCCCCAAGAAGTCTTCAGCCATTGGCCTAAACCTGTGTTCACTTGGATCCCAGCAGAGCCTCCACAAGACTGAGCCTGCCCCATGCAGCAAAAAGCACCTGGTAGAGACTATGGACTAAGCAATAAGGGCCTTTTCTGGAGCCACTTTGCAAAATCAGAACTGAAATTATGATCAGCCAGACCCCAGCCCATCTCCTTCCTTTGTTAACAGAAAAATCTGACCCTCTCCATCAGCACTGCGCTCTCCTCAGATCCTCACGCTGGTGTTTCTATTTTCTCTTACTTTCTAACTGCCTAACACATCGGCCTGTGCCTCTCACTCATGCTCTTAAAATGCCTTTTTGTGATGAGAAGTCATGAACCTGCCTGGGCCATGTTGAGATCCCCACATCCTCTTGAAGAGGACCTCCTCAGATCTGTCCAGTGATGCTTCCCAAAGGAGGAGGAGAGACACAGACCCAAGAAAGAGCCACAGTGTGTGCGGGTGGATGCTCACACACACCAAGGACTGCTGGACACGATCAGAAACACAGGCATGAGACAGCGTCTCTCCTAGAACTTTCATGGAGAGCATGGCACTGCTGGCCCCCAGAGCTCTGAACAAATGAGTTTTTGCAGTTAGAAATCACCCAACGTGCAGTAACTTATTGTGGCAGGAAACATACAATACACATATGGGAAGGGGGTTGGGAAATGGGCCAAGACCTGGAACGCTGTTTGTCTGCAAGGATGTGGGACCATAGGCACTTCAGTGGAAGGCTCTTGTACTTCTCTATGGTCAGGTCTGATCCCCAAATTAAAGCAACATTCCTTTTTTTTTTTTTTTTTTGGTCTTTTTGAGACAGGTTCTCGCTATGCAGTTCACGCTGGCCTTGAGCTCACTTTGTAGCTCAGGCTGGTCTCGAACTCACAGTGATCCTCCTGCCTCAGCCTCCTGAGTGCTGGGATTACAGGTGTGCACTACCACACTCAGCTCAAAGCAACACTCCACTCAGTTTGGCACTAGCCTTGTAATCTGCAGAGCCCAGAGAGAAGTAAAAACAGTGCATTTGTTTAAATAAAATATCCTGAGTCTCCAGACAATGACAGTAGAGCAGGCAACCAAGCACAGGACTCTGGGCATGCACCAAAAGCTGGCCTGGGTGTCTCTAAGACCCCAACATCTACCATGGTGATAGCTGCAGGGCATAGGAAGGTTTCCTTTAGAGGTCATGAGAATGTCCGGAAATTGACTGTGTTGCCGTTTGTATCTGTCTGCAAAAACCCCAAACCCAAAACCCATTGACTTGTACATCTAAAATGGCTGAATTGTAAGGTATGTGAATTATAGTGAATAAAGTTATTTAAAAAAAAAAAGACTCTGGGAGCCTGAGGTAGGAGGATTGCAAGTTTGGGCCCAGTTTAAGATGAAGGGCTGGGGATGTAACTCATTGTGAAGGACCTGGGTGGTTGCCAGGCCACCCTGAGGCCAGCGCTGGCTGCCTGCAGTGTATGGAATGCCAGCTACTTTTCTTCTCTTCCCTTCCTGGGCTCAGCCTCTACCACAGCCGGGCACCCAACTGTCCTGTGCCACAGCTCAAGCTGGGCTCCTTTCTCGCCAGCTCCTATCTGCTGCCCTGGGGCTGCTGAGCAGGGCCACACGCTGGTGGCCCACCTCCTCCTGCCAGCCCCTTTGCTTCCTCATTCTAGAATCCTTGTTCCTCCCTGTGACCTCACAGGAATGTGCCTGGCCGCTGCGGGGGCAGTGGAGGTTCCCCTGGCACATTCTTTGACGACAACAACAGCACCACTAGCGGCTGCCTTTGTCAAATCCAAAGGCAGAATCAGTGTACATGAGAAGGGTGCAGAGGGAGACAGAAACTCACTCTCTGCCAAGTTCCTGGCAAAACAAACACAGGAAACTTTTAAAAATTAAAGCTGGGTGTAGTAGTACATTCTTATAATCCTAGCTACTTAGAGGCTGAGGCAGGATGATTGCAAGTTTGAACCTAGCCTGGGCAATTTAGACTCAAAATACAACAAATAGGGCTGGGGATGTAGCTCAGTGCTCCCTGGATTTAATCCTTGGTAACAAAGAAACATTTTTGTAAAGAAACTTTTTTAAAACATTAAAAAAAAGAAGAGCTGGGTGTGGTGGCACATACCTGTAATTCCAGCACTTTGGAAGCTAAGGAAGGAGGATCGCTGTGGGTTGGAGGCCAGCCTGGGTTACATAGGCCCTGTCTCAAAAAAAACTCCCCAAAACCAAAAAATTACACATGCACATACAATGGAAAAACACTTACTGCCACAAGATAGGCAGGAGGCCCTAAGGCCAGGGGAATGACAGAGCAGGATGGGCCCCCAGGGACAGAGGAGGGAGAGGGCTGAGGTTCTCCTGCTACACTAGGGAAAGCCCGGGGAGATGGGAGTATCCCCCCTTGCCCTGCACCTTTAGCAGGGGTCCTCGGCACAGGGGAGGGGAGGGCCCTGCTCTAGCAGATCGCCAGCCACTAGGCAGCCCACCCTTTCTGCGCTCCATCTAACAACCCCAGGACTCAGTTCTCATGGAAATTCCAGTCCTCAAGTGAAATATAAAGATTCTCCGCCTTGACAAAGTAAAACACAGTACAAGCACCAGAGCTCTGCAAGGTGGGCAGGCCCACAGGAGGGAACACAGGCGTGGGGTCAGTTGGTGGGTCACTGTCTCAAGGGAGCTGTGTCTGCTGCATACATGTCACCACTCCAAAAGGTTTTTATTTTATTTTTTCAAAAGGTTTTTAATGTCTCTTACCTAAGTCTTCGTGGAGGTTTTGACAAACTGATAGTTCTTGTAGCTGAGAAACATTTGTAGTGCATTTAGCAATTTCTGTTATTTTTATTTTTATTTTTATTTATTTGTTTTGTTTTGTTTTTTGGTGGACAGGGTCTTGCTATGCAGTTCAGGCTGGTCTTGAACTCACTTTGCAGCCCAGGCTGGCCTCAAACTCCCAGCAATTCTCCTGCCTTAGCCTCTTGAGTGCTGGGATTACAGGTGTGTACCACCAGGCCCAGCTCTGTCATTTTTAATAGTTCAAATTAAATTCAAATTTTACAGTTAAATCATGGAGAACACAAACCTATTTTTTATAAAATGTTAGTCTATGCTCTGTGTCTAGCAGTTGCTCAGTCTGTATATCCATCCCATCTCCCATCCATTCATCCATCTGTCTATCCATCTCCATCCATCCATCCATCCTCTGTGTGTGTGTATGACAGACAGAGCTGGCCATGGTGGTGCAAGCAAGTTTGCAAGTTTGAGACCAGCCTGGGCTACAAAGTGATCTCAAGGCCAGCCTGAACTGCAAAGTGAGATCCTGTGTTAAGAAGATGGAAAAAAAAAAAACCTAAAAACAACCAAACCAAAAACAGATCCCAACACACACACAAAGAGAGAGGCAGAAAGGAAGGGAAATAGAGAAACACAGAGATGGAGACAGAGACGACAGAGACAGAGACATAAGGGAGATTTCAGAATCCTGTTCACCAGACCGATACTTGCTATTTACAATGGTACAATTGTAGAAAAGCTATTCCTCTCTTCCTTTTTTGGTATAGCTCAAACTTTTTGGAATGAGAAAATACAAGTTCAATAAAAGCCATAAAGTCATTATCTCAGCAAACCATAAAAGTAATTCAGCGGTCAAGCAGGGAAGGAAGTGGGCTTTACCCGAGCTGCTGGGGATGAAGCTCAGCGCACAGGCCCTGGCAATGAGAAGATGCCTAGGGTCGCAGGTGGTTTGGGAAGGCTCCTGTTTCTGCTGTCATCCTGGTGTAATTATTACTGGTGCCCTTCTCTCTCTAAAGTGACTGGCTTTGAGTGACAGGTCACTGTGGGGAAGGGACTGGTGGGTGACAGAGTAGACATGTGTCATTCCTTGCTTTTCTTGCTCCTCAGGAGGAAGGTCATCCTTGTGTGTGCACAGGGAGGGTGGGAGAAAGCAGTGGGCGACAGCTGGCTGAGTAAGGAGAGACCCAGAAGAGCCACAGAGAGGGAGAAGGCACAGGACTTGGTTGAACCAGGACCCACTCTT